GTAAAGGCCGCAGAAAAACATCAAAGGGCTCAAATTAAAGCAGGATTCAAGGGTCACAAAACTTAAAGGTCAGTTTCATTCGAGGCAGACATGAAATGATTGAAACCCCAGCACGTGCTAAGAACGTCAGTCAACCAGATAGAAATATTCAGTTTTGGCAGAAATTTTTCAGTCGTGAATATACACAGTGCAGCAACTTACCATGTTTAATTCAGTTCTAGGTTGTTGGTTCTTTGTCTTCAAAGCTCTCGTTCACCAAGGATGGACATAGATTTTCCGTCGTTGGCGTCCTTCCTCCTCGACGAACCTCTTGGTGTGTGGAATGTTCATCAGTTTTCTGAATACTAATTAAAAACCTGCAGCCAATCGACGATTGCAGTTTTTTTATCACATGTCCTTGCAGGCTTTGGAAAGCTTTGTTATGGAAATGAAAAAAGATAAGGCGAGAATATGCCAAAAAAAGTTGATTAACGAAGAAGTTCTAGCCATCATTTTGACCGACGTAGTACTTACGTAGAAAAACAAAACATCCATTTTGCGTTCCCTCTTGTGTTCTCCGGCAAATAAGTTTTGCTGTGCGTTTTCAAATACGTCTTTCCTGAATACTCTTTTCATTGTATCCCTTATAACGGTCACATTGGATTTCGATATGTTGTCCTCAAATACATTCCTCTGCTATTCGTTCCCCTGCTATACTTTTGATTAAGGTACGAAAAGTTAAACATAATTAAAAACCATTCTGGTGACCACAATGGAAAGATATTAATTGTTGGCCGTAAATTGGCTAAAAAATTTTAACCGTTTGCCGTAAAAGCCATCACCCCATTGAGACCGTTATGATATGAATGATTTTTGTTCTAAGGCATCTCCTCAATTTTTACATCTTGAGCGAAAGCAAGCAATCTATTCGATGATAAATGATATTTGTATTAGTACATGAGGACATCAAGGACGTATCATCAGCAAGGGGAAAATATGATGAGAACAGCAAAAAAAGAAACAAAAATGACAAGATTCCCCGCGCCAGGGATTGAACCCTGACCACGGACCGCAACATGGTGCGGTCAGATGCTCTACCCACTGAGCTGCGGGGAACTTGTCAACATTACCAGCTGAATTTTTAAATTAAGTTTTAGGACCTGCGCACTGCAAGGATCAAGCCTAGAAACATAGGCGCTTTTTTATAGGACGAAAAGAATCTCCTTTGCAATGGTTGGCAATGGTGTCAATTAGTAAGAAGTAGTTCTGTTGACTAGATTAGCTGTTTCTGTTTCCTTTTTTTTTTATCAGAGGGTCTCAATGGGGTTAACTGATGACCGTAAAACGACATAAAAATTAGTTGTTAGGCGTAAAATTGACGCATTTTGACCGTTAGTTGTAAGAAAAGTGAAACGTAAAGATATTTTTGGCGACCATGATGGAAAGATACTAACCGTTAATAAGCCGTATATTGACTAAAATCTTAACCGTTAGCCATAAAAGCCATCATCCTATTGAGACCCGCTTCTAATATGTATAATTTTTGCGCTGATGCATCACCTCAATTTCACATTTTGAGCACAAGCAAGTAATATTTGAAGATAAATGATATGTGTATTAGTATATAAAGATATCAGAGACGTATTATCAGCAAGAAGAAAAATATAATGAGTAAGCAAAAATAAAAATGACAAGATTCCCCGCGACAGGTATTGAACCCTGACCACGGACCGCAACATGGTGCGGTCAGATGCTCTACCCACTGAGCTGCGGGGAACTTGTCAACATTTAAGGCTGAATTTTAAAGTCAAGTTTTAGGTGTCCTACGCACTGCAAAGATCAAGCTTAGAAACATAGGCGCTCTTCCATGAGAAGGAAACAATCTCCTTTGCAATGGTTTGCAACGGAATCAATTAGTATAAGATGAACTCTAGCTGCCCAACTACTCAGATTGTTGTTTCTGTTTCCGTTTCCTCTCTTTTTTTTTTTTTTATCAAAGGGGTGTCAATGGGGTTTACCGATAGCCCTAAAACGGCCTCAAATATGGCTGTTAGACGTAAAAATTTACAACTTTTAACCGTTAGTTGTAAGAAATGTCAAACGAAAAAAATCTTTTTGCTAACCAAAATGCAAAGATATTAACTGTTAGTCATAAAATGGTTAAATTTTTAACCGTTAACTGTAAAATCCCATTTAGACCCTCTTATAATATGCATAGCCTTTTGATTTGATGCATCTCCTCAATTCTAAAATGATAAATGATACAACTTTTAATCAACGACTTATTATGTAAGAAAAAAATGAGTAAGAAAAAAAGAAATAAAAAAAATTCCCCGCGACAGGGATTTGACCACGGACCGCAACATGGTGCGGTCAGAACCCACTGAGCTGCGGAGAACTTGTCAACAAAGATATTAAAGTCACGTTTTGGGTGTTAAGTCATAAAATGGTTAAGCGCTCTTTTAACCGTTATGGTTTGCTGTAAAGATTTGCCGTTTCTGTTCCTCTTTTTTCTTGGAAGATCTCAATTGGATTGACCGATAACCGTAAAACGGCCAAAAATTTTGCCGTTAGGCTTAAAAACTGAAAAATTTTAATCGATTTTGGTCGTAAGAAGAGTGAAACATTTCAACACTCTCTGGAGACGACCACAATGGAAAGATGTTGATTTGATGCATCATCACCCTCTTATAATATAAATTTTCTTTGTTCCGATGCATCACCACAATATCACATTTTGAGCAAAAGTAAGTAATCTATCCGATGATAAATGATATGTGTAACAGTATATCAGGACATCAACGACGTATTATCAGTAGGGAGAAAGACATGATGAAAGAAGCAAAATAGAAATAAAAATGACAAGATTCCCCGCGACAGGGATTGAACCCTGACCACGGACCGCAACATGGTGCAGTCAGATGCTCTACCCACTGAGCTGCGGGGAACTTGTCAACATTAACGGTTGAATTTTAAAGACATCTTTTAAGCATCCTACGCGCTGTAAAGATCAAGACTAGAAACCTAGTTGCTCTTCTATAGGACGAAAAGAATCTCCTTTGCAATGATTTGCAATGGACTCACCTAGTAATGAGAAATCTTGTCCACTTAGATTTGCTGTTTCTGTTTCTGGTCATTTAGTGTTAACAACTGAGTTGAAAACGTAAATTGGCCACCGTAAAGAGTAAAAAAGCTGACGTTTCGAGCCCTTCGTCAGAGCGATTGTCAAAGGGCTAACGCTCGAAACGTCAGCTTTTTTACTCTTTACGGTGGCTAATTTTCGTTTTCAACTCAGCTGTTACGGCTCTAAACTACCTGCAATACTCTCCCACCGACGCAGCACCACAGTTTCTTTATAAACTTACCCCCTTTATTCATTTGTTCCTGTTTCTGTTCCTTTTTTCATTAGAAAGGTCTTAGTGGGGTTTACCGATAGCCGTAAAACGGCAAAACATTAGGTGTTAGGCATAAAAATTGAAAAGTTTTTACCGTTAGTTGTAAGAAAAGCGAAACGTAAAGAATGGAAAGATATTAACCATTAAAAAGCCGTAAATTGGCCAAACGCTTCAACCGTTAGCCGTAAACGGCCATCACCCAATTGAGACTCTCATAGAATATGTATAATTTTTGTTCTGATGCATCTCGTCAATTTCACATTTTGAGCAAAAGCAAGCAATCTATTTGAAGATAAATGATATATGTATCAGTATATAAAGATATCAGAGACGTATTATCAGCAAGAAGAAAAATATGATGAGTAAGCAAAAAAACAACAAAAATGACAAGTTTCCCCGCGCCAGGGATTGAACCCTGACCACGGACCGCAACATGGTGCGGTCAGATGCTCTACCCACTGAGCTGCGGGGAACTTGTCAACATAATTGGCTGAATTTTAAAGTCAAGTTTTAGGTGTCCTACGCACTGCAAAGATCAAGCCTAGAAACATAGACGCTCCCCTATGGGACGAAAAGAATTTCCTTTGCAATGGTTTGCAATGGAATCAATTGGTAAGAAGAAACTCTCTCCATTTAGATTAGTTGTTTCTGTTTCAAGTTGTTGCTGTTAGGCGTAAAGAAAAGTCAAACGTGACAAAAAACTTTTTTTCTAACTACAATGGAAAGATATCAGCCGTTAGCTGTAAATTGGCCAAAATTTTCACTGTTAGCCGTAAAAGCCTTCGCCAAATTGAGACCCTCTTAAATCTTTTGATCATTTAGTCCCAGGCCTAAATGCAATATGTGCCATAACTAACTTAGTGGTCAAACGTCTGCGCATGTGCGAACGCTATGGAGGCGCGCTTTCAGGCTGTCACGGGACTAAGTTGTCTCTCACACGGGTTACCAAAACCACATAAGACAGCGAGTCACAGTGTTTTAAAAGCGTATACATTCGAAGACCATTTTCGAAGACCATTTTCTGAATATGGTCTTCGTTTTTGGGGGTTTCCTTATACTTTCTGCTGGCAGTGCTTTACCAGAGCAGATTCATCACCCATACAGTGGAGTATAACATGCGCGATGGTGAACATGATACACAAAAAAAAAATTTGCCGAGGACTAAAAATTAAGGACTCGTTTTGAGTAAAGAATGTTCGTTGTTTGCAGTCGGTTCGAATATTTTCCATTATAAGCCCACATTAAAGAACACGCAAGGAGAGCGCGAATTGCGTGTCACACGCGAGGGTTTGAACGCAACAATTCGACTACTCTCGCGCGGTAATCGCCCTTCACGAACGCCTCGCGCTTGCATTTTTTCATTCAGAACTAATTTTTTAAAAGCGTTCATCCAACTAAAGGTAGTTCCGCATGGTCACAAACGAAGTAAATAAACAAAAAAAAAAAAAAAAAAAAAAAAAAAGAGAAAGACTTGAAATATCTTGAGATGGCTCATGAAAATCCCTTTTTTTCCCAGCCATTCATAATTTCGGGATGACTAAAAGACGAACTAACATGTTTCGGTTACTAACTTTGCATAACTTTTTGCCCCTCTCAGAAAAGACACAGAGTAATTCAGTTCAAAAAATCTTTATTCACACAATGCAAGTCATGTTTCAAGCAAACCGTTCTACGTATTCCTTAAAATGTATGAATTGTTCAAAGAAGAAAGCAACTGTTTCTTGAAACAATGTTACACAACACCTTCGTTGCATTGGCGATCTACCGCTGACAAAAAAACTTACAGTCTGCCACTGGGAATGACTAATATAATGTTACAAACGTTTAATTTCAACTAATTTTGGTTTTCCTAAAAACGTACTGTAAAAATACAAACGGCTGAGATTTTGGATCTTTAAGATGGAGTTTTTAAAACTACTTGTTAAACATCACGGATGCTGGCTATAGAAATCTGAATAAGATATGTACAAATCAGTTGGGGAGAAGGAAAAACCACCCACACGAAAGTTCGTTGAGGAAGAAAAACTGTACAATCTATGAAAGTATCATCAGAATAAAATTTTCGGTAAGAACCTTAAAAAAATTGTCTTTTGATGAATCTTTCAAATCATCAAGTGATTAAAATTCAACATCTCCCCACTATAAAAGTAGATTCTCCTGAAAACGGCTGGTAAGAATGTAAAAGCTAATCAGGCTTTGGGAGTTCGATTTAAATTGTGATACGGTTGCTGAAAGTGGAAGTTGAAGGGAAAAAGTTGAGGTGGCTTTACTTCATGAATGTTATCTTTTTTTTTTTTTTTTCTTGCTCTCGCTCTTGTACGAATATTAACGAATATGAACATTTAAAAAAACGTCCTTCGGCAAACGTAAACAGAGGTGGATCCAGGGGGAAGGTCAGGAGCGGAAGGGGGGGGGGGGAAACGGACCCCCTCCCATAAGAACTGTGGGTACTTTTATTTCTTATCTGAAACTATGACTCCTTCAACGACAGGATGGCATATTACTGCTAAATTTCCAAGGTTGAAACATTTATCTCGCTTATTCAGGCTCTTGTGTAAGAAAAAAAAAATGAATCAAAGATCAAACCCTTCAATCAAAAAATTCCTGGATCCAACTCTGCCTCTCTGCATTCAGACATGCTGACGTCACACATAACGTTATGACCTTCCGGAAGATTTTAACTAATTCGGGATCAAGTGAAACGACTCGGTCACAAGTCGGGCTTATGTCCGAGTGCGCAGCGTTAATGAAGCTTACAGCTTCACTTGAGTAATTCAAGTTGACTGAATTTAAAGAAAAAAAAATGCTGGTAGCTAACTTCCTTTCACATTTGAGTAAAGAGTGGATGTCTAAGGAGTTCCGTAGCAGGCGGTCTCTCGTCAAGCTTTGATTCAAAACACCTCAGGAGCACATCTCGAAGAGCTGGGTTAAGGCTCTCTGGTATGTCGGGTGGGGACTCGGCCATTGCGATCTGAGAAAAAAAAAGACAATGATGATCAAGGTATGTCCCAAAAAACACACAAGCGGTTCTCCCATAATAACTCAAAGTGAAACAAATTGTTTGAAACACGGGAAGACGCGAATGACCAAGACGCGATTGTTTTCACTTTTGCATCTGATTGGTTGACAGAATGGCGCGAGTTTTCTTGATCAATCATAACGCGTAGCAAAGCCAAAACATGCAATCCCGAATTAAATTCGACTCTCATTTGAAAATTGCTCTAAGACAAACGAGCAAGCTAAGATAAAGGCATAACTTCATAGCAATGGATAACAACGTTACAAAAGGGTGTTTCAGATGCGCATGTGTAGTTGACTTGAAACTACATAGTTCTGTATGACGTCGTCCTACCTTAAAGATAAGAGCCAAGTGATTTGAATGTTCATGTGCGTTCCATGGCGGTTTTCCAGTAACCATTTCTATGACAACACATCCCACACTCCACACATCACAGCTTCGTCCATAGCTCTCTCCACGTAGGACCTTGAAGGAAGACAACAGGTAAACAATTCAGAATTAGAATCTACCCTTGGTAAATAATTCAAAATTACGATCTTCCTTAAAGCAAATCGGAAACTAAGGCAAATACGTCATTAAAGCGCTGACGGTAGCCAGAAGTTGAGAGTTTTTTCTCCCAAGAGCTTGTTACACTTAAGTTCCCTAACATTCGTCGCTATGACGAAGGACTAACGCTCGAAAAGTCAACTTATGAAACTCTATACGGCGGCATATTTATAGAATCAACTAAGTTGATAAAACTAAGATGATCTTGTAAAAAACCCCACCGACGCAGCACCACAGTTTCTTTTAAGACTTACCCATTTATTACCTATTACCAAAGCTGAACAACTTCAATCAAGTTTGCCGAACACACATACCTCAGGAGCCATAAATGCGACTGTTCCAAGCAACTGGCCTTGAAATTCGCCAGCTCCTGTTAACTGTGTTGCTAATCTTGCCGCAGCACCAAAGTCGGCTATTCTAATGTTCTTGCCTGTTGAATCCACTAAGATGTTTGCTCCTATGTCACCAAAAATAATCATAACAGTTCATGAGACACGAGAACTATAAGATAAGTATACAAGTTAACAGCAAAAAATCTGGCAAAGATAACGTCTAACTTCTCGTTCTGTGAAAAAGTACTAAAAACCTCTCTGTAGCAGCCTCCCGAGGGCAGAGGTGTTAACTTCCAGTAGCTTGAAAAGAAGCATCGCGTATGAGCGATTTTTCACCGTGTGTCGGTTCTAATCTTACACAGAAGTGATTAACCTGTAACTTCTCCCTATGAGATTCATACATTATCCAACAAAGGGGTAATGAGAATACTCAGAGTTATTGGGTAAAAGTTATGTTGATCTAACAACAAATTCTTACAACTAATTGACAGGGAAATGTCTAGCAGTTAGAAGGGAGAATTAACAATCCGATCTTAGGAGTTTAAGGGTTAAGCAATCACAGCTGTTGTTCTGATTGGCCTCGGTTATTTCCATGGTTTTGATGAGGTCATCATTAGTTTGATCCTGTTCAATTACCTTTAATATCTCTGTGAATGACTTGATTTTGGTGCAAGTATCCCACTCCCTGAAGAATCTGCCTCGTATAACTGATCACAATCTTCTCATCAAACGGCCCATACTTTGTAAGAAGTTTTGTGATTGATCCACCTACAAGAAAACATGGCAAGAGAAAAGAGATCAGAGAGTAGTGCAACACCCATCAGTTGTCCAGGTCCTACAGACTTTCTTACCCCAATACCCAGCCTGTGTCACTAGCGGTTTTCAGTGCGCTTTAAAGCGTCAGGCGACTAAGCGTAGACAGCGAGTGGCAAAGCCGCGAGAGGAGTGGGACGAAACGCAAACCACTCATTACCCCATATCGCCACTCCCCCCTCCCCCAATCATTGGAAAAGTCTGTACAGCAGCCCAGTGACCCATATCACTGGAGTTTAACCTGGTTTCCATGAGATGAAGCTAAAAAACACTTTCCTTTCCTCATGGAGCAGCTGGCTGCATCCTTTCACTAGCGGGTTATCCCCATCTCTCCACATTTCGTAAAGTTTCCCTAACAATTTGCCGCTACCTATTTATACTCCTGGGTGGAGAGAGGCGCTGTGAAATCAGCGTGTTTTGCCCGTGAACACAATTCACTAATATAGCCTAGGATAAGAACCCTGGGCCCAGTTAAAGAGAAAATTATTCGAAAAAGGTTTTCAAATAATGTAATAAAAAACACCTGGGTTAAAATTTAACCCTGGGTTAGTGTTAATCGGTAAGTTCTGGGGAGAAGGGGCAAAGCGCTCTCTAACACAACGAGATTGTCACCTGACGCGGGGCTAAATGAAAATCAAAATAACAAAATTTACCAGCCATCCACTCCAGGAAGATGTTGAAGTGTCCAGCGTGTTTCGTTGCACCGAGGCATTTAATCAGATGTGGATGCTGTAGTCTTCCTAACAGAGAGATCTCATCCTCAATGGTCTGTGTAACCTTGGTCTGATCTTCCACTGAATTGCGGCAAAAGGAAACCTAGTGATAAAGGATTATGCAAGTTTCAATTGAGCGTTGGGATTGCGTTACTTAATTTTGCTCTGTGATTGGTCCAGAAAACTCGCACCATCCTTTCAACCAATCAGATGCAAAACTACAACAATCGCTGCTCGGTCACCGGCCTTTTTCCCGGGCTTCAAGCGGTTTCCTTGTTTACACTCTGAGTTCTCATTGGCTAATGATGATGTAAACCTTTATTCTGGTTGGTCGCTGTGATTACGTTGGTTTTGGCTTTTCGACACTCGACTGAAAACTACTCTAAAGCAGAAGAATTGTATGGTTTTGAAGGAAAAGTCGCAGAGCTCACCAAATTCTCTCAACGAATTCCCAAGGAGCTGAATGACAGCTACAAGGGAGAATTTTGACTTCAATCAAGAGATTAAAGTAAATGTACCTGTTTGACAGCCATAAGGGACCCATTCATAAGATCTCTGACAGCATAGCAAGATGAGTAGGCCCCAGTCCCTAACAGTTCTCCTTTTTTCCAATGAACTCCCTCCAGATAAAGGTGTTTAGAATTGACTGCCTTTTCCAGAGACTGCAAAACAGATGAGACAAAAGTGAAGTCTAAATCTTCAAAAGGAAATGTGACATCAACAATTTACAATAGGAAGAGAATCTCTACCCAAACTCAAAAAATAGGTTGCGATCTCTAAAGTTGCACTTTTTCGTCTCTGATAGATCCCTAGAAACGAAAGATAATTACTGATGAATCGAGCTGATGTACCACTGAGGAGAAAGCTTCTCGCTTGCCACCTCTCGCATGTGGTTACCGTGATGGTCACAAACTTTTGACGTTATGTTCATAATTTTTGCCATGGCGAAAGCAAACCTTTTCTACACTAAATGAAACGACTTTCGATCAATTTCAAAATAAATTTTGTTCCCTAAAACTTACGAAAATAAACCAAAGTGGACGTTACCATATAATGAATTATTTCAATCGTGCGATATTTTGCCGAGAAACATGTACTTGTGGGTTAACGTCCATCCGAGATTGTCTTGGATTGGTTTAACCAAGCTCTCTGATTGCTCTCGAAACATTTCCCTACCCTATCAACACACAGACTAAAACTTCCTTCCAACCCTCAAAGTCACTTTTGTACTTTTTCTTTGAGTTATTATTTTTTACCTGAGAGCCCTCTTCAATTGAGCTTCGAAAGTAGTCTAGGATTGCATTGGGTTTACAACACTTTGCTCAGTGATTGGTCCAGAAAACTGGCACCATCATCTCAACCAATCAGATGCAAAATTAAAGACAATCGCGACTCAGTCGCCCGCGTTTTCCCGCGCTTCAGGAAGTTTGCTCATTTTCACTTCGAGTTCTCATTGGCTAATGATTATGTAAACTTATGATTCTGATTGGTCGTTGGGATTAGTTCGGTTTTAGTTTTTCGAAACTCAGTTGTTGCTCTTTCATGTCAACCACCAATCTGATTGCTAAGAAGGTTTTGGTGTCACGACATTCAAATGAAAAGTGCTCAAAAGAGTACAATTTTAAGACTAACACACCTCTGGCTGAGTAAAGATGATGACCATCTCATCACCTGAATCCAAGCTTGGTATCCTGGAAGGCCCAGAGTCTAGAGAAGAGACAGCCATAGCTTTAGCCATAGCTTCTGCTTCTTCCTGTGCGATGATCTCCTGGCACTTCTTACCAACAGCCAGCTTCACTGGGGGCATTCTTGGGGAGTCCTCCAGAGATCTGGACCAATCAAGATTAACCTCCTCATTGGGGGAGAAGGTAAATGAAGGCGATAGACACAAGGACTGTGGTCTCTCGAAGTTGTCTACAATAGCCTGAAGAAGCTCTGACTCTGAAAAATTATCTGCTTCGTCATCGGACATGGCTGAAGGCAAGCTGCCGATGGCTGAGTCCCGGTTACTGGAGGTAGAAGACGGTGGATCCATACTTGTTTGCGGTTCATAAGTAAAAACAGAATCACTGCGACTCACTGTAGTCACACTAGCCCTGGGAATCGCTTGAAGCTGACGATTAAGCGAACTGCGTTGAGAGGGCTTCAGTTTGGAAACCACTTTCTTAATGTGTTGTTGAGCTGAGGGTACACAAGAAGATAATGACATACAACACGTAAGAACAGCGATGGCCAGTTTGCTGACTTTGCTATGGGAACAGTTTGCAGCTTGCATGGTAAACTTCAACACCGACATCAGGCGGCGGACGTTACTTTGATAAATTTCACTTGGGTCTTCACAAGCATTGTTCCCTCTGCCCTGAACAAGAACACCAGCTGTATCCATTTGAACAGAAACACAATCATCTGAAAGCTCAAACTCCGTGATATACTCCTCCATTAACTTCCGCAGAAACATCAGCCGCCCAAGCCACCACGGCCAAGTTGAATATTCAGCTGCAGTCCTTAGTATGCAGGATAAAATGAAGTTAAAACCTCCCAGAGGCTGGGGCACATGTTCAGCGCCGAGCATCTTGCCTAATGCCAAATCCCCATTCTCATCCTTGCAGAGTTCCAAAAGAACTTGGATTGACAATGCACTAATACGCCTGCAATGATACAGAAACCCAAAATTTTAATGAATCAACCACTTAACTCCCCAAGATCTGATTGTTTATTCTCTTCTCTAACTGCTACAAGTTTCCTTGTATATTAGTGACAAGAATTTGGTGATAATCCCCAAGTAATATTCCCTTCTTTTCAAATCTTGCGTCCTCTACAAAAAAAATTGTTTCTTCAAAATTTTATTTGAGATTAAGAGAGAAACATTCGTTTGCTCGTAAAGTCGTACCAATGAACACTGAAAAGTGAACAGCTCACGCAGCGAATGCAATCATAATATTTAGAGGATACTGAACACAGTAACCTCCAGTTGACATGGAAATATGTTCGGATATTTGTCCTCGGACATAATCTGTTCCACGAGGCTTACAGTTTGCGTTGAACTTCGTTATTGGAATAGATACCATGTAATGTCCGCTGAAAAAATATCTGAGCACATTTTCGCGCCAACTAGAGGTTGCTGTATTCATTATCCTCAAAGTATTATATTGTTTACATATCAAGTGGGGATATTGATTGATTTTGTACCAAATTTTAAGAAAGTAAATCATACGGGATATGTCGGGGAGAATTTTGATATCTTATGTTTCCCCCCAAAAACTTACCTATTGGAGTCCGCACACTTGGCTAAAACAGCTTCAATTACGTCAAACAAACATTTCTGAAGATGATATTTCTCTTGCTGGGTTGAGTAAGACATATGCATCACCAATACACGGAGAGTTCTCTGAAAAATTATAGAAAAAAAATTGAAATGATTTTATAACTAATATCTCTCGGTCAGTATGTGCGCTTTGATTGGTCAGTTTAGAGGGCAGTATTTCATTGCATGGCCCACTAACTTGAAAAGTTTTTTTAAATTGAAATCTTAGAGAAAGATGTTTTTTCGTCTTATCACGAACGTGGGACAAAGTAGAAATTCTGAGTCCCATTTAGGAATCGAAACTCAGACCTTCGGATTTCGCGCTCCAATGATCTACCAATGAGCCACAGAAACTCCATGGTGAGCAAGGCCCATTACGAAGTTCATATATGATACTCGTCCCGGAATCTTCCCCCCCCCCTCTACTTGAATATCTTACAAACCTCGCTTTCTTAGTCCATACCGTAAGCTACGCGCTTGGGCCTTCAATCCAACGGAAAAACCCGATCCATGATTTACAGTACAGACCTCAAATCCAGTTAGTAAGAAGTATGTATTCCCCACATTTTCCTTGAAAAAGTTCTTAGAGCAATCAATTTAACACTTTCGAAGACACGTGCAAAAAGATAGTAAAGATACATACCAGAGCAGCCACATACACTCGGTACACAGGGTCCCCACACATCATGGACAACAGAGAACAGCAAGCTTCAAAGGCCGTCATGTTTTGTGAGCTACTTCCTTCCATAAATACAGTGTTTATGTCCTTACTTAAACGGCGAAGAGCTGTCTCTCTCACATTCCATTCACGGGAAAACAAACAGCACACAAGATTTTCACCAAATGCCTACATGTATGAGGAAAAAAAAGAGATATGAGATTGCATGTATGCCAAAAGGGGTTTACGCCAGAGTGTATCCGTTTTTCGTCAATTTTATATGGTCTAGTATGATGTCTTTGTGGGAGTGACATGTACATAGTTCTATATTAAAGGACAATTTTGTATGGTTTAGTATGATGTCTTTGTGAGAGTGACATGTACATAGTTCTGTAGTAAAAGACTATTTCAATGGCTGTATCTGACACTTGTAACTGTTTCGAGTCTGAAGTAACATTTATAACATCAACCAGGAAACAGATGAGCATAGAGAAACATATAAACCAGGATATTATTATTTGGTCCAAGACCATATACAGTTTGGAGACAGTTAAAAAAATTACCATGAAGAAATTGGGAGTGAATGACCAGAATATAAAATAATTTCCTATTTATAGAAGAAGAATCTAGCCAACCAGATCTGTTTCCCAATTACCTCAATCCATGGTTTGGCCAGTTCCACCTGTGCTGCTGGTACTGGGTTTGAGTGTGGTAGTGTGATTTCCTCAGGGCCCAAGGGTGCTGGTACACTGGGTAGTTCGGATCGTATACTGTGATCTGGAGATCTAGTGAAGACAAAAAATTGTTACAGTGAGTACTTACAATGATGACAGTTATAATGAAAACATTTATAACAAATCTTATTCTAGAGAATTTATCTCTCTATATGTAAGTATCAGTTTTCTGTACTTTTTGAATTACATCCTATCAATCTATTGTTTGTGCTCAGAGAACTGCCAATTGAATAAAAAAATATCCCATACTTGATATAATTTTTGCTTTTTCTCATCAACTTTGTTGTTGTAAATTTACTTATATTGTTGGAAGAAATACCTTTTTCATAAATCAAAGGAGTGAAAAGATTGATATAAGTAAAGCAGAACTCATTTTATTCAGTGTTCACGAAGGGCACAAACAGGGGGATAGAAAGTACTGCAGCCAAGAACAGTCATAAGCACTGTGGTACAATTGGGAAGGCTGATGTAACCAGGAGTCTTGCTACAAATGTCAGGCCACCCCTTTCTCCAGCTATATCATGGATTCTGTGCTGATGTTGTAGGACTTATGAAAACATATTACAGTGTAGCTGACTATCCTGAGGTGTTATGTCTCAAAAAACGAAAATAAAAATTGAAAGTGAAAACACCAGTGATACCTTTTAGGGCTACAGATATTTGAAGGTGATGACCAAATCTTGCGACAGAGTGGACAAAACAATGCCTCTCGCTGTCTCTTGCATTCAGCAGCCCCTGTCAGAGTGTTTAAGATTGGTGAATAAAGGGGGCAACTTTCTATAGAAACTGTTGTGCTGCATCAGTGGGAGAGTATAACAAGGTAATTTATTATTATCAATTAAGTTGATAATGTAAATTGGCCACTGTAAAGAGCTTCGGAACCGAAGCATTAGCCCTTTGTCAGAGCAAATGTCGAAAGCCTAATGCTCAGAATGTCAGCTTTGAAACTCTTTACAGTGGCCAATTAATCTTAGCAACTCAGTTAATACAGATTATCCCTGGGTAGTTTCAGCATTATCTCAACAAGATGCTAATAAAACCATTCTCTCTTAAGAATAAACAGTTTTGCAGATTAACAATGAAAACATCTTGAGGCTAATAATACTCAGGCAGTCAAGGAAAAAGAGGTAAATGTTTAGAAAAGAAAACACCTGAGCATAAATAATATTTAATGAAATTATTACACTTACTTTGATTTCATTAATCATGAATTAAAATTTCCATTCATTGTTATTAATGCCCCTGTTAACAAAATTTTGTTCATTAACCTTCCATGTGTAAATTTCAATGAGCTGTCTTCATCTTTGCTTTGATATGATGTTGAAAACTTGTAAACCTATACATTCATTTGATTAATATGACTGTCTAAGCCCAACTTACATATTTCCATACAATGCTGATGAAGTCTGTTATGGCAACCATCTTGGCAACTTGTCAAACTTTCCCCTTCCACCATTTCCAATAAGCAAATTGGGCACACCTCTTCATCTTCACGTGCCTGGGGTAACCCTCCCAAACTGTTAGTACATGGTGTTGTTGGTGGTGTGCTTCTCTGGCCCTTGGCTCGAGATGTTTTCTGTGCATTCATGTCCTTTTGTAAACGTGACTTCACTCGAGCATGGAACTTGGAGAGCAACTTCTCCACCTAGCGAGAATTTTGGAGTAGAACAATAGCTTAAATCAACCTCACTTAGACCAACCTTCATTCTGAAGAGCTAAAGCTGTTAAGTTCACATCACAAGTTTGAGAAAGTAGTGCTCAAATCAATTTCATTTTGGCATAATACTGATGAGTTCTAAAAGCAAAGTAAAATTCTCCTAACATGGGGCCTTATTTTTTCCCACAAAATTAGCCTCTTGTAGGAAAAAATTTCAAGCTTCAATCTAGATTGCCCTTGTGTAAAGAAAACATTTTTTCATGCAAGTTCTTGTTACTATTACCTTTAAATTGTAAAAGATTAGGAGATTCAGAAACAGTTGCTACAGCTAGAAATACAATGGCTTGAAAGGCAAGATTATAACCTTTAATTTGTACCTCAAAGTTTTTCAATTTTTGAGTCCATAAAAGAGGATCATTTTCTTTGAGTTTGAAGACTCTAAGCATCACAAAAAGAAGGTGGACACAATGTGGCCTTGTACAAGTACAACTCTGAAAATGAAAGACATAGTTTTACATTAATATCATAAAGACCACAGAGGTGAATTGAACTAAGAAATACATAAATTGCTGAAAGGTAGCTTGTAACTGTGGTTGGAAACTGTAGAGGTGCACATTCACTGTTTTGGGTCAAACTAACTGATTTAAAAACCAAAAGTAATGTACAGCCTTTTGTTTTCTTTCCAAAAGCAAGTAACAGGTGACTTGGGTGACTTCAACAACATTGTTTATCATTGAAAGCTTTTAAGAGCAGTGCATCCCAAATTTCTGACACAAGAGCCTTCAAACAGTCTGCACATAATTCTCCAAGGGACAAAGGTTCCAATTTAACTTAAGTGTAATTATTAGACAGCTGTGTCCGCAAAAGGGACTGTAAGGTTAAACCTTACCACAAGAGCCTGCTAGTAGGCTAAACAGAAAGGGGTAAGAGGTTTTAACCCTTTACACCCTAACATCAGAATTCATATTCTCCATACTGTTCTCTGTACATTTACTAAGGTGCTGACAAGGAAACTTTGTCAAACAATCAAGTGTTTCCTTAGTTGGTGATCATTTCCTTTATTCTCATGACATTAATATATGATTCAGTGGTGATATTGTAAGGAGAAATTAGATGCTAGTCACTCTTAGGGGTTAAAGGGTTGAAAGTAGCTGTAAACCGCTGTACCTGGCTGCTGTTTACTATAATGCTGTTATGGTTGCTTTTACATGTATATTAAACCTTTTACGCCCAGAAGTGATTGACATGTAACTTCTCCCTTTTATTATCCACACATTATCTAGCAAACAGGTAATGAGAATACTCAAAATTATCAGGTATAAGTTGTTATCTTAATCTAACACCAAATTCTTGTGATCAATGTACAAGGAAATGTGTAGCAGCTAGGGGGGAAAATTGACAATCAGATCTTGGGAGTAAATTAAAGTATTTAGCAAATGCCTGAAAAATACTTAACCCTTTAACTCCCAGAAGTGATTAACATGTAACTTCTCCCTACAATAACCATACATTATGCAGCAAACAGTTAATGAGAACACTCAAAGTTATCAGGTAGAATTTGTCATCTTAATCTAATACCAAATTCTCCTTTTTATTTTACAAGTAAATGTGTACAAGTAGAGGGGAGAATTAACTAACAGATCTTGGTAGTTCAAGAGTTAAGTAAATCATGTATACACTGTACCTGTGGACCAATCATCACACGGAATTTATGATCAGGTGAATCTCCACCAATCAGGAATGAGTTAGGCCCAGTCTGCTGCAAAAGGTAGAGTCTTGCTCTCATTGCTTTTTCAACCTTGCGCTTGACCTCGTTAGGTGCATCATATACAGGTGATGAACTCCGTGGAAATGAGAAACATAAGGAATTAGAGGGTGAATTACCAGGAGTGCGTCGCCGTGTTGGAGGAGATGGCACCTTCACTGGCTATAAAGGAAAACAAAACATCAGAGATTTAATCACTTATTTGATGTGAACAGCAAATGGTTGAGGAGTAAACAAATTCAAACTGTGGTGAATTTTGCAAATGGAATTTCCCACATGAATATAATTCTAAATTAATCTAATGACAGCTAAATTTTTGGAAGTCCTAATCACCTTTCTAATAGAGCATCTCTCATATTCTAAAATTTCTACACTTTGATAATGCTGTAATCCCTACTGAGTTTTCTTTACTTGCTTATACAAACCAAAGGAAATTTAAAATAAATATCTAAATTGTCTATAGCCAATGTTAAAAAATGATACTGACCACTGTTCCACACTGAGCTGCTTGGGGCCTGGCACTAGAATTGGCTGATGTTCCTGGAGAAGGGGGCCTGGCCACCTAGCAAGAGAAGAAATACTCTTAATTTAGAATTACAGCCTCTTGATGGGGGAATTCCTATTGTTTTCATATCCATACATGGAGTTGTGACGCAGTTCGTTAATGTTTTGTTCCTTTGTGTACCGGTACATGAGGACACAACCCTCTTGATCCTCAGAGAGAAGAAAACTCTACCTTGAGATACCAAAGCATTAAACTTTCAAAAATTCTTAAAATACAACAAAAAAAGAGGTACACCTCTCCCTTGATAATTTAAAACTCTGTTAGTAGTATGGTGAGGTTCATGATCAATTTTTTCTAGAAAAACTGAAAATGCCTCAATATTTGAAGAAGCAATCAGTGAAATGATAATAAAAAACATTTTAAAAACCAGCTGACAAAACATAGATCACATGATTGTTTAAATACACTCTCATTAATAATTGAAAACGGTTTATTTGAAAAATAAACAACATTCCATTCGGAAATAAAGATTGAAACACTCAAGCCTGATTTTTAACATGTACAGATCACAATCACAATCCGAAGCAATGTTGGCTATTCCGAGCGGTAATCTAATAGACGAAAATAGAACGAAGATTTTGATAAATTGTGAACAAATCTATATGGAGAAAAAAAATTGACTACGTACATCATAGATCTCTTACGACGTCAATAACTATTCATACGGGATCGACTTTCTAAATATATATTTTCGACAAGATAAAGTAAAATTTACATATGACTTCCACCCTCATCGTTTCTTACGCAACATTAACATATTTTTAGAACACGTCAACAAAAACATCAACACATGGATAAACCGTCGACTACCGGAGTGCATGATAAAATATATAAACACTAACATCGTTGTACAGTAAATTGTACAATGAAAACGAACAATTTTACACCGAAATATCGTGAAATAAAGGTGCGATCTAGGTTAAATTGCTGAAAAAATTTGATCAGATGGGCTAATATATTGAGTCTTACAATTTACATGCATGTCACCTGACGATATAAACAGCTAGAGGCTTGCAACATAAGCTTACCACTGGTTGTGTTTTTCTCTTCAAATGCGCGTCTTTATCTTTCTTCCACGTCGGTAAATTCTTAAGCTTTTCTCTGAGTAGTGCTTGTTCCTCTAAAATAGGCCTGATAAGAGAGGAAGCAAGTGATTTCAAGCTAGGACCGGTTTACAAGGAGCCAAAGGAGATCGATTATGAATCGAGAACTCACTTTGCCGATTCTGTAATTTTTGTTGCTGTAGGCTTTTTCTCGTCTTCAGATCTTGACACCTCCTTTCCTTGTTTCCCAGGTTTCTTCCACGGCGGAAGACATCCATCTGTAGGACTCTGGGCGGCCATTAATCCTTACGAATATCCGATCAATATTTTTAAACTTTCCCCCAATAACGTGTTTGTCGTTTCCTCTAGAAGGAATTCGACCTTGTGGCGGGAGAACAAAGCAGAGGAATACGTCATTTTTGACCAATCATAAGGGAGAAACTTGAATCGTCAATTCCTCCCGCCTTCCTTTTACCAAATATGGTAAGTGATAGCACAAAAGACTCTTACATCTTATTTCCACGTCGCCATGGAGGTGAAAACAACCTTCTATCCATCGCTGCCTTTCTTGCAAATTTAAATCAGCGGCTAGTGTTTATAATGAGTGTTATTGTTATTTGCATCTCGTAGAGAATATTTAGAAGATCTATTCAATTTTTTAAGGTTAGCCTCGGGCCGATTTTCCACTGTTCCGCGAATGTTTGCAGCTGCTGGCTGAAAGCTGCTCCATTTTTATCTGGAATTGGACGTTTTCCGAGCATGTGATGCATACAAATTTTTAGGAACTCAAAATTTGCGTTGTTCCGTTCTGGAAACCGATGGCATCCAGATGTATTCAAACTCTTAATGATCTGGACAAGATATCCGATAGGATCTACTCCAAACATTCAAAGGTAAACACTTGGTTAGCATTTGCATCGTGAAGCTACAGTAAATTTTCTGCCCTCCAAATTATAACTTGAGGTCGACCTGTTACCTTAATTGAGCTAATTATCAACAGTTGTTTTCCTTGGACAATTTGTTTATTATGTTTATTTTAAATATTTAGGGGCGTTTTCGCGCTGGTATTGAAGCCAAATTGAAAGCTGCGAGAGAGAAAGCTGAGCGATCGTTGCGGGAAATCGACGAAGAATCTCCTTCATGCAGTTACAAGGAGACAAATACTTGTCGATCTAGTATCAGGTAACGTATTCTTAACTCGAATTCCGCTCAAATGAAAATTTAATTAACGAATTAGTTAGGTAAATCATGGTAAATTCGAGAAGGGAAATGGCTATGTTTCCATTATGAAAGGGAGATTGAGAACAGAGAAGCTTATCAGCTAGAGGGTGTTATTTTGGGCTAACACTAAATTCTCCTGTCTGGTTCTGCTTCTACAACCATTTGTAAAAATGTCGAGACAACCTAGGCAAAAAGTGCATTTACTGACTTCATCGATTGGATAATAAGAACTTTTGCACCAAAATCTAAAAGCTGCTCCCCTTCCCTGGTTCAATGTTGTTCATCAATGTTTTGTACATGGTACTGCCTAACTAAATATACTGACATCGCAAAGGGGAAAGGTGGAAGGATCAACTTTCCCCTCCTGTGGGCTAAACATCATCGCTCGTGCTTCTTAGTGCACCATGCCACAGAGACCCAGGCCACGACCACTGGGATCTTATAATTAACCTTAAACTATAACATGGAAATGTGATCTTTAGATTATAGGCCAGCAGATTTCAAATTAAGCTGAGTGGTACATGATTTACATAGAACCCCACCACCCATAGCACTCCACCACCCATAGCACCCCACCACCCATAGCACCCCACCACCCATAGCATCCCACCACCCTTCCAGCATTGTGGAAAAAGGAACAAAAGTTACAAACCTTTGTATCATTTCAGGCCATCAAGTTCAACTCCATCCTCCAGGACTTTTTCAACGTCTGTTTCAACTTCATCAAGATATGTAACTTCAGAACGTCAAAGCAAAATAAGAAGAGAAAACGTACACAAACCTTCCTCTACAAAATCAGCTCCAAATGAGCAAAGAGCCAGAGCTCAGAGGAGGAAAACCAAATCGTGTCCAAGCTGCTCAATAGCTGACAAAACAGAGGAGGAGCAAAAAGATTGCAGAGGCCATCTTCCTTACACTGTGTCATTTTTTGGCAAGTACAATGGAAAAGAATCAGAATATAAACCAACTGCCTGGTTCAACCTCCCTCAAGAGACAAGCGTTGGTGTGATTGATACTTTTGCTTGTGATGAGAAGAACAAGAAGCCAATTTGTTACTCAGTGGATAATAAAAAAGGGGAAAGTGTGCCTAATCTTTTGAGACATAACTTGCCAGTGAGGGTGGGACAAAATGGTATTGTAAGAACTGAGAAGAAAGTGGAATTAATACCAGAAACTGATGATGGAAGTACAAAACAAGGGAAGAAACGCACAGCTCCACTGAACTGGGAGGAGCAGCTGAATTGGCATAATGTGAGTCTCCTGAGTTTCTTTATTGTTAGCACTTAATTAGCAGGCTCCAGACAAATTTAGACATGCCTTTTTGCCAGGTGGTCAAGAAGGCTGTGAGCCTTGTGAGTCCTTTACTGCAATAGTGTGGGTTTGATAGTCTGGTGTTGGTGACTGATGTTTTGACAAACTGAGCAGAAGTCATCACCAGAGTCAAGTGAATAGTCGTTGTCAGTCAAATGTTGTGAGTCTTAACTCCCAAGATCTCATAAGTAATTCTCCTTACTGTCTCCCATACAGTTCTTGTAATGTAATTTTGGAGAATTTGGTATTGGATCAACTGGTAATCCCCTAACCGATCTTTTTCTTTATTCTCATCACTTGTTTGCTTGATATTGTATTTATATTTTAAGGAGAAATTCTGTCATGGTCACTCATGAGAGTTAAAGGGTTAACTTAAATTCAGTTTTTACCCAACCTCTTCATTGAAGTATGATTTCTTGATTTATAAATGGAGAATTCTTTTCATAAACAGGCATGTGTTGTTTCATCAGCATTACAGTCAGAGAAGGATTCCTCCTCAAAGGTACGGAAACAATGTAAAAATTAGAAAAACGTGAAAAAATAGTAAGGCATTCCTGATTGTAATCAAGAAGGGTGGGGTAAAACAACTGATTGATGGGCATGGGATGGGAGATAATAGGGGAATACAGTTTTTATCACAATTGGCTGTGATATCACAATCTGAGTGGCAAATTTGCTGTTGTGGATAGGGGTACGGACAATGCTGCTTGTGTCATTGTGTCACACAATGGTTACACACTAAAAGAATCATTTCATTTGATGTCAATATTGTAGTATTAAAAAACAAATTGACAATGGTTTAGTGTGGTCTGTACTCATATCAACAACAATATTTGTCATCGCAGTGGTCAAAATTTGTTGCAGACTTACTCAGCTGTGCCTTGTGAGTCAACAACATTTTGACCACTGTGATGACAAAATTATATTGGTTTTGATAAGAGTACAGACCACACTAAACCACTTTCCATTTGTTAATTTGATTCTGTTTATAAGAAGACTCATCTTGAATGGTAATCTCCATGATCTAATACTTTTTACATCTGCATAATTCAAGTACACTTATTCCATTGATTAATTTCCTATTCAAGAGTTACTTGTTAGGCCCATTGAAAGCAGACTCAACACAGCTCTTAGAAGGCATAAACCATCACGCTAAAAAATTTACAATTATATTCAATTTTATGAGAGTAAATAAAAACAGTGTAATTTTTTAAACTTTGAGATAAAGTAGCCCAATAGCTGCATCAATGCCTTGCTTTTTTAATGAAACAATTGATGTTCTTTCCTTACATTGTGATGCATCTAGTCAGGAGTTTGCAGAAAGAACTCTTTCAACTGACGATGTTGCTTCATCACCTTAAAACTTTTTAAAGGTAAATGTTAAATTAAAAATTCTATTATATAACAATGCACTTAACATAAAACACTGCTGGTGAACAAAATAAATACATGATATATGTGCCAAAACATACTTTCACTTCTGTAATCTTTGTGAAGCATTTTTATGCCAATTATGAAGCAAGGGTCAATGAATTGCACCCATCTTACAATTTACAATACTACCCTCTGGGTCGCTTATGTGTATTGCACTACCCGCATGCGTGTGTCAAACGCGTGTAGTACGTGTAGTATTTAATTTTAAAGCTAAAAGAGTAAATTTTACTATTCCTGGCTGCTGGAGAAATGATTAGAAGTTTAAAATTGAAAACCTTGTTGAGATAATGGGAAGAGTCTGGGTTTAAAAGTACTTTTGTCTTTTTGTTCTCGTAACTAAGATCTTTATTCATTTGATAGTTCTGTGTTTTCCATAGGGCTTGTATGAATCACATCCAGTTATTTTCCACCACAAGAAAGCGCAGCAAAGGAATGTCTATACACGAAAGGAGGAAAACTATCTTTCACCAGCTTACAAGCTCAGTTTAGAAACACGCTGGGTATATCCCGATCGAAGGAACTTAATTTCCGCAAAAGATAAATGTATTACTGCTGTGGAAATTGAGGATAACAGAACTGATGAACTGGTGAAAGTCGGTATGGAAAGTGCAGATCGTGCAGAGCACGATGAAAAAGATAATGCCGACGAGTCTGCGAAACATAATGAAGAGAAGGTTTCCAAAAAGGTTACCTTCGAAGATGAAAGAGTTGTGAGAAAGAAAACAGCAAGGAATCCAAAAGGAAAGAATAGAGAGGAAAACGATAAGAGGAAAACTAATACTGTTGAAATCATTTCTAAAACTGACCAAGCTGAAAAAGTTAGTTTACAGCAAAGAGTTCGTCCAAAAACTAGTCAAGGAAGATCTGGAGGACCAGATAATGAAGTAATGGCGAGCGATAGGAAAATGTGTCGACCGCACTCTGCTCCTCCTGCTCCACCGTCCTCTCCAAGACTCCCGATTGAATCCAGATTTTCCAGGTGTATGCCTATAACGATAACGATCCCGACACAAGGTGATTTAACAGAAAGTAGTAGCGACCTAAACTTAGGAAACAGAATAAGCGTTGAACCAAAAACGCCTGCTGAAATCAGTGTCAGTGTTAGTCCTGGGGAAAGCGAGGAAACTCTCGTTGAAAGCGAAAAGAGTCCAGCATTTTCTGTCGACATTACTCCAAGTTCCTCACCTGAAAAAATCATCCCGAGGTGCGTTTCCTTCACTAAGGCTCCCAGATCTGCGCCAGTCTCTAGAACCACACCAAGACCTGAAAATGAAACTCTTCGATCGAGATCATCCACAGCTCTTCAAAGAGAGCCATACAGGCCGCCCTCACCCGTTGTCTTTGAGTCAGAGTCTTCTTTAGAGTTGCCCAAAGATTTGCCCCCCGCCCAAGCCGTTGTGGCTCTAAGGAAAAAAATTCGCGAAGATCTTGCCCAGCAAAATCGTGAATTACAGTTGGAAATTCAGCACTTGTACTTAAAAAAGCATACAGAGTAACTATTTTTTTTTAAAATAAAGACTGTTAACTTTTACAATTCTTTTGTTTTGTTTTGTTTTTTGTTATTGGTTTGTCATCCCCTGACCAGGTAAAACTAACACCCACACCCAGCCCCGTAAAAAAAAATATCCCGGAAAGAAATATCCCGAAAAAAGATCCCTTCCCTGATCCGACTAAACTACAATTCAAATAATCTAAATCACACAGAACATTCTAAAGTATACAAATTAACAACTTAACTTAACTTAACAAGTACAGACAGAAGAAGTATTTACACGGCGACACTTAGCGGCAGTACACAAGGGCGGAGCAAACAGGCGCTTTTTTTTTTCCTTCTCCAGCTCCTCTCTTCGTCACTAGCGTCCAGTACCTCACGATGTTCCAAAATTACATAACTAGGTATCCGCATGCTCACCCATTAGTCAATAGCTGTGTTGTGATCAGGGATATAAAACCTCAATAGTAACGCTTTAGATTTACGTGTATTTTGCAATATAATGCAGGAATGCTAGTGTCATTTGAAAACTAGGACTAAAATTGGTTATTTATTAGCATGTTAGATCGTGTAAGTTACCCTCGAAAGTTTCCCACCTCAGTCTTGAGGTCTTTCTTCTTTCCACCCTCGTAGTGTTCTAGAGAACGTGGAAATGAGGTCTTACACTGGAGCTGATCTTAGCTTGGGATTGAAATGTCCTTCGTTCAGAGACTCTTTTTATTTTTATGTACTTGGGGGAATTATTCTTTAAATGGCATGTAGGTTAGCCTTTTTGGCCTTGAAAACTTAGATAACACTAAGAAGGCTCCCATTCTTCATTTGCTGGGGACTTGCAAAAAACAATATCTTGCATGTTGGCACATGGATAAAAACAAGTGAATAGACAGGCAGGCAAATAACATAAGGAGAGCATTCTTTCCATGTACCAAAAGCATAGATTGAACCCACCAGAAAACATTTTAGACTGCAAGCGGTTCCTCCTTGTTGGCAAAGTAAAATGCATGAGTAAACAAAATTCAGTGCATCCTAGTGGTGGAGTGCATGTTTAATTTTGCTGATTATTTTTCACTTGTGAGGAATTTCAATGAAAAGGAGCAACTACTCATAGTCTACCAACATTTTGTGGAAAAAAAAAAGCCTTGGCAGATGTTTGAATCCTGAAATATGTAACAAAAGCCATTGCCCAAATTTGAAGCAGTTAAGCATTTCTCATCTCAATCTCATTGTCCCACAAACAAGTGAAATCACAATAACTGATAGAGGAGAAAGCATGACTGGAGAGACTAAAGCAAACATATCAAAAGACAACTATTTCATTGATGGAAGAAACTGTTTTATTACAAGTACATTTTCTCACTGGCTTGCACCACTGGAGGCAGGAGCCGCTCCACCTTTTCGTTTCTGGGACTTGGCCTGAGTTCCCTCACGGAATCCATTTTTAAAGCGGCGATGTAGCTCTTTAAGGTGGCGCATACGGCCGGTTCCAGTTGTCTTTCTTCGGTTAGCTTTGATGCTCCAGTTAACTAGAGAAAAAATTTTGAGTTTTCAGAAGTTGAAAAGCTTTCAATGGAACAGTCACAATTATGCTAAATAAAGCAATTTGTGTGTTTTGTGTCTGGTGCATGAAATTTTTGCAACAGCTTTAATCTTTTAAGTTTCCAAGGTTTTCTACAATTTCTTGCTTAATCAAAAGTATGACAGATCAGTTATCAAACAGCCTGATTTGAGTACTAATAGAGCAGTGCCATGCAAGTAATTGGACAGTGGAAACCCCATGCTTGTGTAATTGGACAGAATGTATCTTGTGTGGGCATTCTCATCACCCTTTTGTCTGTTTTAAGAAAACTTTTCACCAATGGCTAGTTTGTTTTGAATAGTTTGTCATAGTTTTGATTAATTGGTTACTGAACTTTTTGTACCTGTAATGATACTAGTGATTAACAAATTGGACTGCTGCTATATGGTCATCTGATTTCTGTCAATCACACTTATGATTACAGACCGAATTGGATTCCACTCAGTTCTATAACAATTACAACTGTGTCGATAACAAAATCATCTATTATACCCTTGTTTGGGTCTTAATTGGGTGATTTAAGTCCACACTGTCCAACTCCACCCATCCAATTACATACACTTGTCATTGGACTTGCAAAAATGGACAGTTGAGCAATCAATTAAAATTAAGCACTTAAAGCCAACAGCCTATATAACTCAACTACATAGCTAATCAAAAATGGAAAAACTTCTGAAATGGCCAAACAAACATACAGGGACAAAATCAGCTGGTCTAATGACTTTCATCATTATTAACAAGAAGGGTATGTGCTTTTACTTAAAATTTTACAATCCTGAGCTTCCCCCAATTTGTAACTGAAGCAATTTATTGGAAATCGGACTTCATGTCACACAAGTCATAATCACCACTTTAACAACAACTTAGTTTACTTCAATTATAACATAAAAAACAGACTTACACTTCCTGGTTCTAGCGGCTGGATAGCCACAAGAAGCACATCGCTTCTTCTGAATGTGGTATGCTGAACGACCACAGCGCACACACAGAGTGTGTGTCTTGTTATGGCGCTTACCAAAACTCGATGTTCCCTTCGTCTGTAGTGAGAAATAATAAAAAACTCACATGAAAACATTTGATTGCGCAGTGAGGATGGGATTCAGAAAAACTGCATTCGAATAAACGAACGAGCCGAAAGATGGGCCGAAAAGAAACACTTAATTAAAACGAAAGACTAAATAACACGTTCATTTCAATCAAGAGGGACAATTTTGCTTCGACTTAAAGTAACGGTGGCAGTTGTGTGTCCTTCGTGCGAAAATTAAAAAACCTACCGCTACTGTATGTCAGTTGACTTAAAAAAGTATTCATCTATGGATTTATTTGGCCAATTGGACTCAACTGACAAAAATGCTCTTATATTATGGGACTAAGTTTGTATCCAAAGCGCTTAACGTAACCTTGTAGTACTACGAAAACAGTTTCACCACTATAATCCCAAGTTAGACATCGAACAACAAATTCACATCATAGATTCACACATATAAGACTGATTTATTATTTTAGCGCTTAAGATTTTAATTTCGAGTGCTCTACAACGAGATGGAAGCAGATTTAAATGTACGAAATACGAAAACTCACCATATTTCGATAAGGCCGTGAAAGAGAGGACTACTTTGCGACCAGGCAATGTTCATATCCCATGAGGTCAGGCGGGTAGTGTGCTATGGTCTGAGCCTGCAGTGTTTCGATAAGTCAAAAACAGTAGACTGGACTGAACTTGCGAAAGAACTTGCCTTTTTTTCTTTTCTTTTTCTTTTTTCTTCTTCTTCCATAGTAAATTATCGTTAGTCACCAATAATTTCCGTAGTATTAGCCAGCTTTATGAGCCTGAGAAAAAAGGAAGACCTCAAAATGGTGGTGGAAAGACGCCTTTGCATCGATAATGCCAGGGGCATTGATCCACAAGTTGAACGAAGCGTGAAAACTATGAACCGAGCGAGAAATACCCAGGCCACACTGAAAACCCAAATCGATGTTGATATTTTCAAAATAAATGCCTAGTATATAAAAATCTTGAGAGGTTTTAACGTTGCAATCTCCAAATTCGCCGTTGGCAGCTCCGCCCAAAATGATGACTATAAACCTAGACATGCATTTGCAGGGATACCCACTGCTACCACGGCCCCTCTCAGGATGGCATTGACAAATTTGCAATTAACAACATTGGAGGAGGAAGAGGCGAAAGAATTTCATAGACGTTGCTCTGGAAAAGTGTCCCCACTGATCATGTAGATCTGGATCATTCACCAATTTGTGAGGAGAGTTGGAACAATTTTGAGGAAGATATGTAACGCGTGTCACATACATGTAGGAGACACTGAATGGAAGTATCAAAATAAAGAAATAACGAGAGGATCATAGCTAAAGTGGGCTCAACGAGTGTCTTGATCGGAGTTGGGAACGATTTGTGATCTCTTTGAATAGTGTTGGTTGCGTTCAGGTGGCCTTTTCCCAAGCATTCTCTCATTAAAAACCCTCCCTTAGTAGCATGAAACCATTTAAAAAGATGGTAAGAGCAAAAGAAATGAGAACAATTTTACCTTATCAAAAGGAGTGTTTTGCTTTTTGTAAAAGTTGCATCAAAGAGAAGTAATCAGGCTAATCGGCGAAAACTTGCTTAGTTTTGCATTTGATTGGTTGAGAGAAAGGCGCGAGTTTTCTGAACCAATCACAGAGCGAAGTAGAACAAAATTAAAGCAACCCAAAATCACTTGCAGTACTCTATTGAAAATTGCTCTAAGGCCCTTTTTTTTTTTAAAGTGTACTTAACAATTCCCCACAAGTAGCTTTATACAGACACCGAACCACAAAAATATCTTTTTCTATCAATTAAATATAATTTAATTTAAAAATTTGAAAATATAAGCGAACAATTTCGACGCAAAACTTTCTTCCTGTGACCATAAAGCTTATTAGTCCAAGGCATGTATATTCAATTTGACATGATTGTTCATGAAGTAATCACGACCCTGTCATCTTGACCTTTCAATCCTTTTGGGCTTCATTGTTCTGAAAAATGGAGACATAGTTCGAAAATTATTGGTGTTTTTCTTTCCTTTGTCCTTGTTCCTTCCTTCGAGTTCCTGGTTTCCTCAGGCTCAGACGTCAAGAACAGGTTACCCAACATTTCGGGCCTCAGACATCCCACTTCTTTAACTCTCTATATTACATTTTCTTTTCAGGTATATAACAAGATGACTAGCGCTCTTCAACAAAAATTGTCTCTTGAGGATAAAGTCCAATGGATTGTAGTGATTCTGTTGTATCCAGAGCCGACAGCTGTGAAAGAAAATGAAAAGAAAGAAAGAAAAGAAGAGCTTTGATTAGCACGAGCAGGTTGGAAAGAAAGATTTTTTCCCCTTTTCTTAACCCTTTGTACCCCAACATCAGTATGCATATTCTCCACACTGATCTCTAAACATTTTCCATGATACTTACGAGGAGAATTTTTCTATCAATCAAGAGCTTTTTGAGTTTGCGATCATTTCACTTATTCTCATGACCTTAATGTTTGATTCAGGGGTAATAATGTATGGAGAAATTGGATGCTAATCACTCTTAGGGGTTAAATAGTTATATGTACTCACATCTCTCCGTGGAAAATTTGTCACTACTTTATATTCACTGTCTAGGAAACCTCTTGTCTGTACAAACGTTAACACAACCTATGATGAAATTGAAACACGTAATAAGTAACACGTTTTCATTGAATGCAGGGCGTGAAATTAATTTTTTTTTTCTGATAGCCACTTGGCTCCTAAATTCTTCAAAGTAGTAGCCAATTCAAAAAAAGTTGGTCGCCATTTTCAAAGACAAACAAAATCTTTCTTTACGCTGTCAGCGTTCTAGAGAGACCCTCCAAAATTAAGTTAGGGAAAAGATCCTTAACGTGCTACAAAGTGGACACTAGGATGGATGATATACAACATTAAAGCTCATCTAAATCCAAGATGGCGTTTAGTTATCGATCGAGATTCATGTGCTACGTTTTGGAAACAAACTTGACGAGGAAGTTTGCCGCGGATTTATCTTTGCAAATCTTTTTAATTCACTATATCTCTTGGTAAGGTTATGATGAAACGTTCTAGTCGCCAATTTGGCGACTAACTTTCAGGATTTGGTCGCCAAAGTGAAAAATTTAGTCGCATTGACGCCTGTATTAGGCGCAATTTCACGCCCTGGAATGAGAAAAGTTACTTAACCTTTAGATTCCAATATCAGTATGCATATTCTTCCAACTGTTATTTATATATTTCCTAAGATGAAGAGCTTCTTCAGTAAATGATCATTTCCTTTATTCTCATGACCTCGACGCGTGATTTGGGGGTGATATTGTTAGGAGAAATTAGATGCTGGTCACTCTTAGGGGTTTTAGGGTTAAGACACCTTTTAGGTCTCTCCCTCGGAACGAGGTCCAATGAAGACAAGGTGATTTGTTGTACTCACAACATCAATAATCAATAATACAAGCTTGTGTTTAATGTTAAGCGAAAATCAGTACACATCAAACCTGGAGTGGATTGCTGGCCAGGAATCTTCGTGTCACAGTATCACCATTAGGCAGCCTAAATCGGAGATTGGAAACTGGAGCTGTACATTCAGACCCAGGCTCTGCAGGAAGGTGATCCATCAGAGACAACCGTTGAGCCTAGAATCGAAGATCAAGGTCACAGCTTGAAATAGGTCTCTTTCATAAGAGACAGTTTAAATTTTTTTTTAATACACCAACGTTAACCTCATCAGTCTCGTTCCTGTGAGAACGTTCCATCATTTACGAAAAGATTGATGAAACTAGGAGAACTAATTTAAAGTTTCCCATTACTCATTACTGTTGGAGCCCCCATTATGAAAGGGGTCTGATAAAGGAGCAATGGAAATGTTGGAGCATCATGAAAAGTTACGCCCAAATTTTTCAAGTTTTCCGCTAGAAATCCTTTTTTCCTTTTCTCCATTCTTCGCTATCCTTGTTCTTTCGTGGTTTAGTTTTTTCTCTTCTGTGTTCTCCTACTTAAGGCAACTAAGCTTGAATCACCCTTTGAAGCCGAGAAACGAGAGGAGGCTCGATTACTATCCGCTGTTCGGAAAATGAGCCCGCGCCCCTCCTTCGAAGTTCCCCGTCGGGATGATCGAAGACCAAACTCGAGAAAACATCGGAAATCGAGCCTTGAGTGAGCCATACTTTCTTATCTTAGATAAATGAGCTTCACCACTGCGTAGATTGTTCTTGCATACCTCTTTCAGCTGCGCTTCGTGAAGCGCTTGTTCTTCGTGCAGTTTTTTCGACAGCATTTCTTCCTCTTCTTGCCTTTTTTTCTCTTCCGCCTGAGAGAAAAATTTGCAGGAAATAATTAGGCAGTCAACCCGGGGGGAGGGGGAATGGGGAAGTATTTTCCGTCCGAAAGTAGAGGAAAAGGTCAAAGGGGTAAAAATTGTTTAAGTTTCGTACACAACACTTGCTTACTCATATCAGTTAATGTTCCGATAAAGTCTTCTTTTCAGTAAAGAAATAAATGTCAGCAATAAAATTCTGCACTGTGCAACTAGAACAACAATAACAAGAAAAGAGTCGCACACCTTAGCTCTGTCTTGACGGAGCGAGGCCTGGTATGCTTCATCCTGTTCTCTCTTTACCAATTCCCTCGCTTCTCTTTCTTCCTAAAAAGTATCATGAAGCAGAAAATTAAACCTTGTTACTACCCTAAGAATCAAATGATGAAAAATCGTACATTATTTCATTCACGGTAGACGCACTCGACAACGTAACCTGCTTTAGAGTACAGCACATGAACCTCGGCCATCGCGCAAGGCAAAATCATTCGATCCGGAGTTCTACGAACTGACAGCTCAGGCTACTGAACCTCCCTTCCCCTACACTCCAGACCTAGATCGCCATTTGGTTAGAAGACAACACTGTGCAAGTACGAGTCAAGAACTAATATCTAGCGAAACTTCACGCCTACTTTAACCATGCAATTTTAACTATTCACACAGCTTTCAACTTCCCAGTAGTTCTATTTTCATTTCATCCTCTCCTTGTGAGTGGAATATGAGGATGCTCCTTCGGTCTATAAAAGAAAACCTTTGTTGCGCCAAATTATTATTCCTTTATTTACCTCTTCCCTAATTTCAACGTCCATGGCTTGTTGGAATGTCTCGTGTGCGCTAATTAAACCTGTCATGAGCTCGTCAAGGGTAACAGTACCTATTGCGAAACGATTAGTGTGACTCTTTATAAACAACATTGTAGACCGAAGAATTGATTTAACAGAATTAGTGGTATATCTCGTTAGTACTCCGCACGCTCTGATTGGTCGATTTTGTATGCCATACTCTGCTGTGCGACCCGCCAAAATTTAAAGATATCTCTTTTGTCAAAATCGCCCGCTATTTGTTGTCAGTCGTCTATAACTTTACAGAACAAGTTTCAGTTAAAAATCTTTTGATTATCTAAATTGTGTGTTAAAACGTGCTATCGAATAAACTACCATTTCAAATGAACTCATTTCGCTTTCAACGTGGGTCAGCCGTTCTGCGTGACAAGAAATCCTTCTGAAAACCTGTCGGACACACAGCAGAGATATTACAAATATATTCTCACACCTGTCCTATTGGACAGCCCGTAATATAAGTTACGGATCCTTGTTTTGTCACCGTCGATTTATGAACCAAGCGCTTAGGTTCGAACTAACATTGAGGAGCATGAGCTCGGTTGGCAAGTGGTATTTATAAACAATGCAGAGCAAATCTTAACGTAGACCGTATCAGATCTTAAACACTTAGTCCTAACAATAAAAAAAAACATTTCTGCTCAGTTTGGGACTAACCAATTCACGAAACGCAGGCAAGCCCTCATTACCGCTCTCACATTTAAATCAACAAAAACAGCACTAGTTTGTACCTTGAAGAACTGAACAAATCTCCATCGCTGATCTGTTTTTCATAGCAACTAGAAGAAGAGGATACTGCTCGGCCCCAAACCCCCTGACAGTGCTAGCGGCCACACTACCAAAGTGCTGCGTCACCATGTCCAAGAATCTGCATCAAAATGAAGGAAATACTTTTGTTTTGAGCTCAAAAAGTAAAGAAGAGCGGTTTAAAATAGGGTCTGCGCTTTAGCTGCTTACGACTTGGACTTTGCATGACCTCTTCTTGGACTCCAACGATTGCTCAAAAAGCGATCAAACTAATTCAGGTTGACGATGATTTTTTATTTCTGTTTTCACATTTTTCGGTAATAGTAACGTAATTAAATCTCTGTCTGTGGTCGTTGCAGCAACTTAAACTATTTAAGTGTTGATCAGCTTTTTAATCACGCATCGGAGAATTTTGGAGTGCCTTTACACAATAAAACGCGAAAACAGTCCTCTCTTTTACTGTTTTAAAATACTTTTTGTTTTCCAAATATGGGAACAGCATCTATCTTTAGACCTTACAGGAAACATACAAAAACAGCAAGACCTGGAAAATGAAACTCTTAAATCCTAAGATTTTCTAGGTTTTCATGAACAGTCCAAGTTCAAGTAAAGATGTAAAATTTAGTAACTTGGTAATGAACATTACTTAAGCAGTAGTGAAAATAAGGCCTGTACGGGATTTGAACCCATGACCTCTAAGATACTAGTGCAGTGCTCTATCAACTGAGCTAACAAGCAAGCTAAGAGCTGGTTATTACGTTGGTTCCTAATAAACCCGTAAATTAATGAATCAATGCCTGTAAATATACGAAAATCATATATATGAACTGCGGTTTAACAAATGAATTTGAATGCAATCTTCGCAGTAATGAACACTACTTAAGCAGTAGAGGGTTTGGTTGAACAATAAAAGGTGCCGCAAACCAAAGTCAAAGCATTGAGCGCCAAAAAACACTAGCTTCGATTACAATGATAAATGACTCTTGATAGAATCACAGACCCAGAAACATATGAATCTCGCATATGGCTTCGCTCACAAAGGAGTACTTTGTGGCTTAGTTAGTAGAGCATTGGACGGCAAAATCAGATGGTCTTGGGAGCAAAGCTATATAGAGAACCCAGATTTTCTCTTTGTTGCACGCTTGTGACAAAAGTCTACACAAGTTTTCTGAAATGACTCTGTTTTGTATACCCACCTTGTTCTGTTTGTATCATGAGTCATGTCCCAGGCCCACACGACAAAATTACCACTGATGTAGTTCACAATAGTGTCCGAGCAGATCAACTGGCTGAAAGACGAGAAAAAAAAAGTCGATGTGCATTTAAAATCAAGCCAGTCTTGGAAGTAGCGCTCTCAACAATTGAGTGCTTTAAAACGAGGAAAAAACGATGACATTTATCTCTGAACACCAGGAACAAATAAGATGTCTACGCAAAAACAATTAACCAGCTTCATGTGGAGGGAATTGAGTGTCCAATTCAAGGGTGATTTAAGATTTTCATCGGATTGGCTCAGAGCATGACGCGACTTTTCCAGACCAATGACAGGGCAAAGAAAAGCAAAAATTTATAAAAAAAAACTCAGATTTTTTTTTCAACACGCACTCGAGAATTACTTTGAAATGCGAGGCATAGTGTGGTGATCAGTGAAGAGAATCAACCACATCGAGGGGATCTGTTCTGAGATCGCTCTGACGAAGGGCTAACGCTCGAAACGTCAGCCTTTTAACTCTTTACGGTGGCCAATTTACGTTTTCAACTCAGTTGTTAACACCAAATTACCTGTTATACCTCCCACCGCCGCAGCACCACAGTTTCTTTAAAAACTTAACCCCTTTACACATTGAGAGGAGTTCAATATACAATACAATACTTAAAGCTCAAAAGTAAGTTCACAGTCTCGACTCGAAACTCGATCCTCGATACTCGAAACTGTCGAGAAACGAGTAACGACAATCGAGGATCAGTAGCAGTACTCACCTACAAAATACATTTGTTAAGATGCTACCATCGTGATGTAAATAAAGAAGTAACGGTCTCCTCTAAAAAAAATGGACCATAACCATTCAAATTAAGCAAAAATCCATATCAAAACAACAAAAGAAAAAAACCAATCCACAGAACTCATTTGATACAGATACAAAGGAAGATAAAAGATACTATGAAACAAGTTGTGCATCTTGCAAATTTTAGCCTGAATTTTCCAAATTCACTACTTGCAATCAAGTCAACCTTTGCTTCCGTTAGACATCCTTACTTCATTCCTGGTTTATTCCCACCTCTTTTGTCTATAAAGCAAAGTTTTCACATTTCTCGGTTACAGAGACAATTCCAGCTAGCCTTACTAGTACATACCTCTTTAGCTGAGGCTCCACCAGCTTCCTGTATAGCTTCCGTAAGTGGACCCATGTAAAAATGAGGATGTATTTCACCATACCTGATAAAACAACAAGACAACTTTCAAAATATTGTTGAAGTGTAACTCAACTTAACCCTTTAAATTCCAGAAGTGATTAACATGAAACTTCTCCCTATAAAATCCATACATTATTCAGCAAACAGTTAATGAGAATATTCAAACTTATCAGGTAGAAGCTTCTATCTTGATCTAGCACCAAGTTCTTAAAACCAATTTACAAGGAAATGTGTAGTAGCTTGAAGGGAGGGTTAACAATCAGATTTTGGGCATTAAAGGGTTAAGGTAATGTGGTACTGGTCAGTTAATATCATCATAAAAAGCCATACTGGAAAGTTGGCACTGTGATATACGCAGGTGAAAAATAGAAAGGTGTTATCTAAGATAAGGATCTGGATCATAAGTGATTACCATAAAGGTCACAAAGTGTATCATCTTGTCTTATGTTTGCAAGCTTGGAATTTGTCAAACCAGCACTAAAATTGATTTTTGAAAGATGTTGCAACTATTATATATAACACTTTCATCCTGCAATGAATGCAAGGTTTATACCCTTTTTCAGAAACAAATTTCAAGGACTTTTCCGGAACTCAGATTGGTTTTTTTTTTCCAGGACTCAAAATTTAACGCTTTTCATTCCCACAATTTCAAACTCAATTCTCCTTACAGTCTACAAACATTCCTCAAATTCAGAAACTGCTTGAGTCAAGCAGATTTCCAGGACTTTCCAGGACCTATAGTCTATTTCCAGGACTCTCCAGTGTTGGAAAATGTCAAAATAAAATTCCACAACTTTCCAGGTTTTCCAGGACTTGTAAAAACCTTGTGAATAGCCTTATTACTAGACGATCTTGTTCAAATTATTCTGCCATTATTGGTGGTGCATTACTATTGGTAATAGTGAGGTTTAAGTAACAATTTTTTCCAACTTGGAAAAAACTTTTGTCTCTGAAACTTGTCTGAATATTTGCCTTTTAAACCAACTGAGATTTCAGATGAAAGATGCTTCTTAGGACTCTGAGTCAGTTCTATGCAACACATTGACTCAGAGCAAGTATCTGCGTGATTTACCTCAAATTACTGGTATACACAAAAATTATTGATAGGAAAGGAAATCTTACCTTTCTTCAAACTGAGCTGTAAACTTAACTAAATTTTCAGCAGTGTCTGTACAGTTTTCTTTCACTTCAAAAAAGAGATAATAACAAAGTTATCAGTCATCTTATGAGATAACTTAGCCCCTCCATCCTAACATAAGCATGCATACGTGTATTCTTCATACTGTTCTCTATACATTTCCTATGGTGCTGACAAGGAGAATTTGTTGAACAATCAAGAGCTTCTCCAGTTGGCGATAATTTCCTTTATTCTTGTGAACTTCATGTGTGATTCATGGGTAATTTTGTAAGGAGAAATTAAATGCTGGTCAGTCTTAAAGGTGCAAGGGTTTTGCTAAAATAGGACCAGCACAGTCATGTGAAAAAAAGCACTCCCCATCTTGAAACAATAAGAAATTCAAAGGTTTTTTCTATACAGCATGCTAGAAAGGTAAACCTTCATATGTGCTTTGGACCTTACCAGCACATGTACATCTGCTGGTCAAATGTTTGTGTTTAGGAAAAGAAACAACTATGGAACACCATTTACTTACACATCGTACTAATTTGTCTTCTAGATGTTGGAATATCACAAAACATGTCATCATCATCATCAACGTGAAAAGAAGGATCTTCATTGTCACTGCTGTCATTCCCATCCATATCAACATCTGCATGCTTTTGTTTAGGTTTTCTAGTCTGAGGAAAATAATCATTTCATTAACCTTCAACTGCCATGAGTGATCAAAACAGAATTTCTCCTTACAATATCAATATCAAGCAGACAAGTGATGAGAATAAAGAAAAATATCAATTAGGGGATTATAAGTTGATCCAATCCCAAATTATCCAAACTAACATCACAAAAACTGTATGGCAGACAGAAAGGATAATTACTAAATGAGATCTTGGGAGTTAAAGGGTTAATTCTTGGACAGACTTACCGTTATCCTTTTGGGTAAAAACACATTGTTTAGGTTTATCATTGGGTAAACCCTTTATGCTATAGCATCAGAATCATAGAGCAGAAAGTACAGGAAAAGGAGAATTACTAACAAGATCTTGGAAACAAAAGGTTAATAATCAATAATAATAATTGTAATTACCTCTCTGACTTTGGAAGGACCATCCTCCCTTCCATTATTCATTCTTAAGCTGTGCACAGGAAATGACAGATTTGCTTCTGCAAGGCTCATCTGAAATGACAATATCAATTAAGAATTTCTAGTTGTTATGATAGAAACACAATGTCACTACACAGCAATTTTCAATTGTGCGGTAAATTATAGTAATCCAAGATTGGTTTGTTTGTGCTTTAGTTCCCTGAGTGCTGGGTCCTGTAAAACTGCACAATCTTTTCCGTCAATCAGGTCCAAATTGAAATCAATTACCATCACTGGAGAAAAAAATTAAAAGGGGTGTCAACCTCTGTATCACACAATTTCATGAGCCAATTCTACTAAAACACTAACTACTAGTAGATCAGACATACAAGCAGCTGCAGGGGAAGGGACTATATGCAATCAACCTCTGATGATAATAGTTCAGTGATAAGACCTTCTGCTAGGTCACCAAGAGTCAAGGACTGATACAATGCAGTGTTAATTAAGTATACATACTTCATCAGTGACACCATCAGGCCAGCCTGACCAACACTGATGTCTACATGGAACACCAGACAATGAGAGAATATCAGCCTTAACCTTAAACACAAAAGCATCATAAAATTTCATTATTAACTGTTACAAGTTGAAAATTTGATACTTATGACACAAAAACTAAAAAACATTCATGAGTGCTCTAGAGTTCTAGGAACATGTATAAACTTGATATATATTAAAATATTATGTATTTATTGGGAAGGCTGGATAGGAAAATATTTGGCTCTTGGTCAAGACTTATGAACTGAGAGCCAAACTTTCAAAAATTTTGTTTTTCTCTGGACTGGCTCACATCAACCTGTGTGGCTTTGCACATGTCAGCTTTCATCATAGTTTGCCACAAGATTGCGCACGTTGGGTGGGATGTGTCAAATCATGATAATTAACTTGTATATGTATATGTGACCCTCCATGGGAAAACGGACACTAACGCTTTTCCGTTAAACAGTCTTGAAAAACGGTTGTAAGCAGATAGTTAACGGCTAACTCGAATGTTTAAACGGATGCCATAACCGCTTAAACGGATGGAAAAAAATTTAAATGGTTGATCAAAGTCCAAAAACAGATAGCTTAGGCCTTCAAACGGTTGACCAAAAATAAAAAACGAATAGCACGAAAAGTTAAACGGTTGACCAAACTTCAAAAACAGATAGCTCACACTGTTAAACGGTTGACCAAAAGTAAAAACGGTCAACCCAAAACGTTAAACAGTTGACCAAAGTCCAAAAACTGATAGCTTAAACCAAGAAACGGTTGACCAAAATCGACAAACGATGAGCTAAAAATTAATGTTTAACGGCTGTGGTTGAGCCGGCGAGATCTTCTGCGGAAAAACTTTCAGAGTGACAATGGATAATTATCCTTTAAAGCGAAAATATTGAGCATGATAATTTGAAAAGTAATAACTAGCATATACTTGCACATTTTATTTCTGGTTTAATTACTGCTGCTTTCATGTGACATTCATGAAATAAGCGCAATTTACTGAGAATAGTTTTGCTGCTGAATATCCTGAACGGCTACTGCGAGAAACTCATAATCTTCTCCTTTGTTTATTCTTATTATTATTGAAAATGAACTTGAATTTGTAACTTACCTCTCCTATAGTCTTTGTTAAAGCATAAGGTAAGTTGAATTCGCTACTTCCAAACTGAATGTTTAACATGATCTTTTCCAGTGAGTTACAGCTTCTTGAGGATGAGCTGGAGCAAAAGAGGAAATCTGTTTTCATGACTTGTTTAGAATAAATCAGGATGGGTGTAAGTCTAAAAAAGCTTTCTATGCTATAATCATCAAAAGTTGCACAAGGATTACAATCATGAAGTTCTCCAACAAAGTACACTGTCTACTGAATACCTGCATTTAACAATTTTGTCACCAACTCTTCCATATAATGGTGGATATTTGAACAAACTTATGATGCAGTACCAGAAATCGAACAAGATTTTCAAGACTTTATTTTGACCAAAAACAGACCCAATCATACCCAATCATATTTCTGAACCATTTGCAAAAATGAAAATCTGTTGCACTGAAGTTCAACATTCAGCAATCAGTGCTCTTTGAAGCCTAAAGAGTAAAAATTAGGTTTATTTATCATTCTACCCTGATAATATTCATCTGGCCCTGGTTGTTTAAAGCCTGGATGACCCTATCCCCTGGATAAATCTCTGTCCAATGGATAGCGCAGTATGTTTTGATAGCGTTATCCACCCTTTATAGAACTGGGCCCTGATTATTTGATATCATTACCTAGTTTCACCATTCATACTTCTTTTGAAAGAGCATGGTTGACTTTCTTTAGGTGTCTCTGTCACCACACAGCTCATCAAAACCAGGGCTGTCTCCTCTCTTAAGTTTAAAGTGCTCAGTACACTCTGTAGAGGAGAGATTCAAGAACAACCAGTAAGGAATATTATGCTATCAAAAGCAGTGGATGAGATACATTAGTGGGGTTTAGGAAAGTTCTACTTGTTATAGTCTAAATCAATTGGGAGTAACTCTTGGCTGTTAACCAACTGCCTTGCTTACATGTAAGTGGAAGGTACATGCCTAGGGTTTCCAGGGATTCTCACTGTGTTCAATCAGACCCTGATAAAATTTACATCATTGGTTTTCAAATTCCAGCCATCCAGTCATAAGCTACCATTCCAGGCACCCATCAGCACTGATTAGAACTGTTAGGGTGGGGAAAGGGTTTAGTAGTGTAGGGTGTAGGAAAATGACAATTATAATAAAGTTCGGATATAACGAGCGCTGTCATTGGTTGAAAGAGCGTGCTCTATGAGAGTATAGAGCATAGAGCTGAGCTAAAGCTGTCACGCCATCTGCCAATTATACTATGTTCGACCTTTTCCGGGACTTCTTTTTAGCTTTTTTCCGATAATTGAAAGTGAAATTTCGGAACAAGCGAGCAAAGGTTTGCAAAAATGCCAGGCGCAGTAATTTACGTTACTGTAACGTGAGCAGAGACAAAAATCCTCAAAGATAAAACAAGATAGACAGTCCGAGTTTTTTTTAACGGTTTTCACGCTCAGTTAGATTGCGAGTTTATGTACGGTAATAAAAATCAAACGCAGCCAACACTTGTATAGTATATAAAGTTTCGATTTCGAATAGAAAAAAACAGGAATTATGAAAAATATAACCTGGCATAACTGTTAAAATTCATACTAATCATGATGGTGTCAGAGCGACTTAAGATCTATCGCAGCTAGCTAATCATGGCGATCTTCGGTCATCGCGGTGGAGCAAGCCTCAGGAACTAAATCGACTACCCTTCGAGTGAAAAAATAAGAGCTTGCCCTGATTACCTTTCCGATGCGTTGTGTGGAAGGCCAGATCAGTCACTGCAACCGAGTTTTACGGCGCTGTCATTCCGAGCGATCTTTTTGTCTTAGTGAATTCGGCTGTTGTTCATTCATAATACACTCGCCTTGAACAGTTTGTTTTCTACTTGTCATGTGAAATAACTTGCATATTTTTGTGAGCTATGATTGGGCCGAATTTCACTGAAGAAGTAGGGGGAAACTATGTGTTTCCCCCTACACTTCTTTCGTGCTCTAGCCGCTTCCTGTGTGCTTTATAACAGAACAGAGCACAGTCAAGGCCTCTCTATTTGTTAATTATAAAATGGCTCGAGACAATCATTACCACCTTGCGTGAGAACCTCATACATGCAATAAAGGGTTAAAACACTTTAACCCCTAGGAGTGATTAGTAACTATTTTCCCCTATCACTATTACCCCTAAAACAAACATTACGGCCATGAGAATAAAGGAAATGATCACTAACTAAAGAGGCTCTTGATTGTTAAACAAATTCTCCTTGTCAGCACCTTAAAAAATGTATGATGAACTGTAAGGAGAATATGCATACTGATATAAGGGTGTAGAGGGTAAATATAGTGAGAATGTTCCACAAAAGCCTGGTATTGACTAAGCGCTGATGAAACATACCTACTGAGCAAGTGGTGATTACAACTTAAGTTTGTAACTTGTCTTTTAACTACATGTAAATTTAAAAGAAAAAAAGCCATCTTTGTTTACTTTAACACTGGTATAAACCTTACCTCATCACTTATCTGCAGATGGTGTGGCCATCCTAAAAGACTTTGTTGGTCCATTGGTAAACCAATCTGCATCTCTAGCATTCGCTTGATTGTACCTGAATTAAAGAGACAAATAAAATACACCTTGAGTCACAAGTGCAGGCAGGAATAGATGCTATCTGTGAGGTTCTTATGAAGAGATGGAAGATTAACCAAGGATTATAAACTAGTCATTACACTGCAGGATTGAAAACTGTTTTGGGATTAATCCTTAACTCCTTAACTCCCAAGATCTGATTGTTAATTCTCCTCTCTAGCTGGTATACATTTCCTTGTGAATTAGTCACAAGAATTTAGTGTTAGATCAAGGTAAGAACTTCTACCTGATAGGTTTGAGTATCCTCATTACCTAATTGCTGGATAAGGAGAAGTTACAAGTCAATCACTTTAAAGAGTTAGAGGGTCAATTCCAACATCAGATTCTGCAATCATAAATTCTCCCTTCCACTTCCATTGAATCTTGTGAGGTGAAGTTACATGCTGGTCACTTCTTAGAGTTGGTGGATTAAAATCTTCACTCCCAAGATCTCGTTAGTAATTCTCCTTACTGTCTGCCATACAATTCTCTTATAAGTTTGAAGAATTTGGTATTTGATCGACTAGTAATTCTTAACTGATATTTTTCTTAAGTCTTATCACTTGTCTGCTTGATATTGTAATGAAATTTTAGGGAGAATTCCTGTCTTAATCACTCATGGGAGTTCAAGGTTTAATACTTCAACAATGACATCAACTGTACCTATAGTTTCAGTCTCATCTAACACAATTGGAATAGTTCTTTCTTTCCACTCAATCAGAAACTTTATTCTTCTTGAGGATGGCTGTAAAGGGATTGCATTTCCAATAACCTCCCCAACAGAAACTGATGATATCGTAGCACCACCTGAAAACTGGTCTGTACCCCAAGTAGCATTGGGTACAGGAGCATCTGGCATGCTAAATGGTGTAGGAGAGTATAAAAACAATTAGCAAGTGCCTCAAGATTGTCAATGTGACAGGAGTGAAAAAAGAATGGTTAGTAATCAGCTAGACATAAATGCTGAAGTTAAGCCCCATGGTGGATTGTAAAAACATGACATTTAAAGAATAAACTCTTTCTAAAGTTGTAAGGTTGTTGCTTTGTCAAAAGCCCTTCATCTAGAGCTCTTTATTAAGCCTTTCTTGGAGTAAAGTGGTCTAAGGAAGAGCTTACATTCAAACATCAGTTTCACAAACTAATAATGTATATTTTACAGATTGTAATAAAAAGACAGTAAATTGGGTGAACCTACAATCAGCATCAAAATTAGTTGACACATAATATTTGAACAGTACTATTTATCTGAAGAATAATACTCTTGTTTCTACCACACTCTAAATCATTGACAAGACCTTCCATCCCCACTACCCATTCATTGTTGCCTTTATGTAGCTAAAGGTTCATGGAATCATGATAAAACATTGTTTAGAGGGGGAGGGGGCAGATAGGTTGACTTAACAAGGTCAATAGAGATAGCAGGTTAAAGAGTTCACTTTGTCAACATTTTTGTCGCCAATTATAGAACTATCAATCATCTCTATGTAAATGCTATTATTATCCACACAAGGCTGACACCATGAGAGCAAGGAGAAATTATCAAAACAAAGGAAGAAAAAAGAGAGACATTGAAATGAAATTAAGGTTTCTCTACATTGCTTATCGTGTATTCCACTACTATCAAGCATGCAGGGGTAATCCTAAGAAAATGTACTGTTGGTCTGCAGCAATGTCAAGATGTCTGCACCACCTAATAAAATTATCAAAAAGGTCTTCATTCTGAAGAGATTTGTAAGTTTAATACCAAGGTAATTTTTCTGCATTATTGTTAAAGAAACTCAACTTGATTTAGAGTGATTTAGAACTTGGTAAGGAGTATATTTGCGATGGATGACATTCTCTTGGTCAAGAAAAGAGGCCACATGCCCTGAAATTAGTCAGCAATTATTTCCCCATTATAAGGAATTGTAGATATGAGAAAAATATTATTGATAGTCACTGGGGATTTTTCTTTGAATATTTTTCAGCTACGTTTGCAAAGGAGTAATTAGAAGGATGATTGAAGAACTTTACAATTTCTCTGCAGTCTTACAAAACTCACTTCATGTTCACGTTCGGTGTTTTGTGACAAGTCACGGTAATAATTAACTTTTTCATTAAAATAATTGATCCATGTAACATTGTCTACATATCATTTATTAAACTTTCTACGAATCACGCGCTTAGAGATTCAGTCGATCAAAAGTAACACGAAAGTAATTTTGCCATCTATAGAAGGTCTAGGATCTATAAAAGGAATATCGAATGTGGTTATGACAGATTATTTGGAAGAAAATCTAGGATTGCGTACAATTCCCATTCGGGAAATATCTAGATTCAAACCACATCATTTAATTAAGCTGAATTTTTTTATTATTATATAAGACATGACATGATATAAAGCATATAAACAACACAAACCGTAAAGGCGAATCCGTCTCGTCGGCTAGGACTGAATTCACACATGCCTAAAATCGTTACACAGTAAAATAGACGAATCAGAGCCAATAAAACAAGAGACAACGGACATCTCAAGAAAAACTCGAGGGAAATAATCACAAACCGTCAAGTCCCAATTGTGATGGTCCAGGAGTGTAATACATTCATCCAAATTCTCGATTCCCGTTATACTCTGTTGAGAAAATGTAAGAGGAACTCGCACTTAGGAAGAGGTAGAAGAAATATGGAAAAATTAGCGATTTACCTGAAAGTTTGCGAGGACCATCTCTCGGTCACCGTCTCCTGCCATCTTGGATTTTTCTCTGGTTCATAACAAATCATGCGCATGCGTTGTGAAATTGCGAGCATCAGAATGATTGAGCGGAAGTGACGACATGCGGTAGGACTATGACGAGGGTGGAGTGGGTGAGATAGTACCACAAATTACTTCGAGAACTTGCTCAATAATCTTTCTCGTTAGAGAAAGAAGAGGATGTGGCTAATAGTGCCGATGACTTTCGTGACGGATAGGACCTATGATAATCAAGGGATTCCTTTCCTGCTCTTTCCTTCAGGAAAATCGTATTTTTTTTGTTGCAGCGGATTTTAAGCTGCGAACGAAATTGAGATAGGTAGATGGGGAACGGCAATTTTTCCCTAGAATCGGGAATTCTGAACCATTTTAAAGAACTAACGCCCAAAACTTTTGCAATGGACTTTGATCAAAATAAAATGAACTCTTGATTTTCCAAAGCTACCTCCTACTCCCACAAGAAATATCACTGTCAGAAAAATATAGGAATGTTGATAAACTTTGTCAGAAATAGAGCTCTCTGCTTTCATCGTAATACTCCTCCACCTGCTCGTAAGTTCCAAGGTGCCTGTCTGGCCAATGGATGAAATGATATCTTACGAGCGAGGGCCAGGCGTGAAAAAAGGCAGGTCTGGTTCGACGACAGCCATTTAATGAGTCATCTTCATCAATTTGACGATTAAAAAAAAATGGTGTCGTGCTCGTCACAATATAATAAGGATATGAGAAACACAACCGATTCTGGGGCTATCTGGCAATACGGTCCGTGGTCAGTACAACCTGATAACTTGAATTATTGCTTTTTACTTCGATTGATGAGTTGGTTTCGTCCATGCAAAGGCAATTAGATTCCAGTTGTTTCGGGAGCCCGAAATTCTAATTTTCTTGTCTTACTGCGAGTGAATAATGTACAGAGAGCTTTGAGAAAGTTCCGGTTTCAGTTAGTCAGTTATTATACGCGAATGATTTCGAGAGAAATTCAGAAAATTGAGAAAGAGGAATCCGAAAAATACCATAAAAAGGCATTCCCCTTTCCTCCAGTAACAAATATAGGCTTATAGGATTCTGACAGCTCGTGTGATGAGTGGGAACTGAACACTTTAATTGAAAGGGGTCGGCGAGGCTTCAGTTAGCCCTCTTTAGCAACTCTTGCATTGCTCCGAGTTCAAAACATTTTGCGTGTTCCAATCGGCTAATCAGTTACAAAGCCTGCAAAAAGGTTTAAAACCATTCCCCTGTTTCTTCCTTAAGAATGAGGTGAAAAGTTGTCCAAGAGATCAGTTTCAAGACATTATCTCACCATGTCAGCGGCGTTATGACAATCTGAACGATTTTTATTCTTATGCAATAAGGCTAACGAGCTTATCAATCATTACCCATGCCACGGAACACTTTAAAAGGCCGTGAAACTTGTATAATTCCATTAGAACTAGCTTCAGCTTTTTGAACTGATATTCTTAAAAAAATTAATTTTGCTTGTTACCTAATCTTGCATACAACACAAGGTACTTGTGGGCCGTGTTTAAACCACAAATACAAATAAGAAACAATTCATAAAATGGAAAAATGTATTGATCAAGGAACTTCGAATAATTCACTTCAAGAAATTGCCTTCAATTGCTGGATATACATCAGAAGCTACAAAAAATCTAACATGATGTGATGTCATCTTTCAGGGATTCGGGGAGCTGTCCTTCGAAGGCGACAAATGTTATTCTTAAGGAAGTTCCGGTCATTTTACTGTTATGATCGCTTCCTTCTGATATAGAGACTTCATTTACGTGACTGGCTTTTCTAAACAAAGAGCAAACATGGTAGGAGTTCGAAATTCATTAAACACATTAGTTCAAGTTCAGGAAATTCTTATATTTAAAGTTCCATATCATTAGCAATGTCCTTTTTTCCATGTGCATTAAATTCGTGCTTCATGTAAAGTTGATTCCTGGTTAAGTGTCTGGTCAGGCAGCTATATTGCATCTCTGCGGGCCGGCTGTTAAAATATTTGAGTTGCTAAAAAAAAAGAAAGAAGAATGACTGTTATTCCCAACCGGACAATACTATCGTTGCCACTTTCATTTTCAAGAAAGAAAGGGTGCCACCAGAATAATATTGTGAGCCAGCACTCAAAGACAGAACTATTCAGCAGCACACAAGATCTGAGGTCCAAAATCGAACTTGTCGTTTTTACGTTTCATGCTGTCATCAATCACTATGACAATGGAAGCAAAATGGATCTACATCCACCAATCACAGCACCTTAACTTGAATTTTCACTCTCTTCAAAATATATGACCTTGTTTCCTGAATTGTACCGAGCCACGATTGATGGCTGCATAAAATGCTTGATCATTGCACTTGGTGCTTCACAAAAACAAAAGATTAACGGTTATCAGAAGTTTTGCTAGCATCAGGTGAAAGACAATTTTTTTTTTGGTTACAGAGAAACCAAAACGCAGTCCAGAACTCTTACACGATCTGAGAGTGAGAGTCAGGCGAATCTAAGCTCAGTTTTTTGGTAAAAGAAATGAAACATACTATCCTATATATATATATATATATATATATATATATATATATACCTGAAATCACCAGAACTTAAATCGGGAATACCACTTTTCTCCACTTCGAGCCTTCTCCTGGATGAACTTTTGTCCTGCCTTAACATCTTTAACTTTTGATAATATCTCCGCGTGACGTTTGGCTTCTTCGAAGTATTCCACTCGTTGTTTCCAGCCGGGTTTGGCTTCATTTTTCTCAGATTCTATAACAAGCTCCAGGTACTGCACTTGAGTTAAGGGGTTGGGTTTCAGGGCAATTTCATCCAGTCGACGAAGGCTTTGCTGTGCGCTGTCTATCATGGTCAGAACATTGCTGTGCACCGTTTGAAGAAACTCTTCAAGTTGTTCAATCATGCCTTCGACTTTAGACTTCCCTGAAACGGCTGTTTCATACTTCATTTGCAGGTCGGCAGAAGTTCTGGTTTCCACGACTGATTCGTACTTGATTATGTAAGGAAGGTTTTTGTGATCCGACCAGATGCAGTTCAATGTACAAATTCTGCATTTACCAGTTGTGTTATCCATGGCCCAACAATTACGCTTTTCGAGGTCATCAGCAATCTTACAATTCTGGTGGCACGTGTAATTGCATTTTAGGCAGGTGGTGGTGTGTTTCCCAGTTCCTTTGAGATCGACATAATTTGGCTTAGTTACAACAACTTCATAGGTGAAATCTTTGTTGGTTTCAATCTCGCTGACATGATGTTGCAAAACAAGCTCTTCTTGCCTCATTTCTTCAATCTTGTTGAGGCCCATTGTAATTTGAGGGTTCAGACCTTCAATCAAGGTTTGAAGCTGTTCACGTTCATTCAACACCTCTTTAGTTAGTCGAAGACTAACACTTTCTGCTTTTCCAAACTCAGCAAAAAAGTTCTGAAAGGAGAGATAACCCATCTTCCAAAACATTGCATCGAAGCTGTCTTCGGTTTCTTCGTTATTGGCGAAAAGGGCTGAATTGTTGAATTTGAAGTACTTGTCACTTGGGATGTTGGCTCTACTAATTGCTTCAAGTACTGGAGGATTCTGGCCATCTGCAAATGTCAGCAACATGAAGATGTTTTTGGAGACATCATTTCCAAATATGGAAAGGACGGAGTTGAAGATGTACTCTTGCGTTGGAGTGAGACGTGCGAGGGAAGCTTGTGTAACGAATCCAACTGCATCAAGGTGGTCGATACCATTTGGTGGGGAAATGGAGAAGAACTCCTTTATCTGACTAGTAATGAGCTTATCCCTCTTCAGACCTTCTGTATCACCGAACCCTGGCGTATCAACTATTGTAAATGTGTACGGAATGGCCGAACCTTTCTGGGGATAAAACGTGTACGCAGTGATGTCCTTCGTCTGACTGTAAGCCTGCGATACGCCTTTGTCCTCCACGATGAGTTTGTATCGGTAGTCGTCCTTCCACTCCACACCCAACATGTAATTCACCATGCCATTGATCAACGTTGACTTACCAGCTCCAGTAGCTCCCACTACCATGAGAACTTTCTCCATAAGCCTTCCTTGAACTCTTTTAGGGGGCTTCCCGATACTTTGTCTGGCAATCATGCTGTTTCTTCGTCTCATTCTCATGACCCTCGGGAGAATGTAAATCGATGGAGAGCCACCTTTCATCTTCTTTGAGGAGGAGAGAAAAAATTCAGCTGGTTTGTGAAGAACAGAAATTTTCTTGGCTTTACTCGGTGAAGTTTTATCATTTTGTGGAGCAATACTCTTCCGTTTCTTGTTAGGGTGGTCTGAAGGATTTTCTTCACTGTTTCCGCCGATCGCTTCACTATTTTGCGTCCCATTGCCATCATTCTTGGATTTGGAGGACAGCGAATCCTTAGCTCCATTCGAATTGCATTTCTGAGTATCTGAGGATGATGCACTCTTCTTTTCGTGGAGGTGGTCTGATTCGGGGAGAGTCGTGGGATCTTCAGTAACGACACTGTCACTTGTGTCACTTAAAACGCTCCTACCAGCTTTGCATTCACTGTTCACCTTGAATATGTACGTAGTTTTTGCGTCCAATCCCTTCACTGAAATCATATTCTCGTGTCCCACAGTGGGCAAAGACTTCCAATCGCCGGTAGAAGATTTGAAGTGGACTATGTATCTCTGGACAGTTCCTTTTCCCTCTGGGGATTCTTCCCATCGTAGGGTGATACCAGAGGCACTTATTGCAGTTGCAAAAGGCTTTCCAGGTCTACCCGGAGGTTCAAATTCTATAGGTTGACCGCCATCATACAAACGGACACCAAGAACTCCTTCGCCTGTGCCCTTCTGAACGTTTGAGACGATGAATTTTGTACGCTCGTCATGTTCATTTTCCCGGACAAAATCCCTGAAATTTCTTGCCTTAGCCTTTCCTTCACTGACTGTTTCAGGTTTTTCATACCATGATTGTGTCGAGAGATGTTCTGATGTCCAACTGCCAGTTCGCAGAAATGCATACATTTGTTCAACCAGTGCATCTTCATACCCAACCGTCATCAGGGAAAAGCAAACAACCTGATCATACTCTAAGGAATTGATCACACTGTCAAGATCTTGCAGAGTCGTTACCAGCTGGATTCCTCTGAAGAATTCTAGGTACATGGACAACAGTTTCATCTCCTTCTTCATACCACTGATCCACGACGAGAGGCGGTCGTGATGAAACGGAGAAGACGCAACTATGTTGAGAGCGTCGGTAAGTACTTGCTCTTCTTCATCACCTCCTCGCACCACTGGTAACATCTCGGAAATTGTCTTAAGAATGTTCTTTTTGTACCTGGAAACCGCTTTTCCGCATCTTGTGATCCGCTGTTTGATTGTAGGAAAGGTGGAACACGTGTTATCATCGACGAGGCCACATAAACTCGTTTCAAACTCGTTGAAATTTGCCAAGACGTTTTGCAAAGCATCAGTCACATGAGGGCTAACCTCGCGCACTCGCCGTACCAGTTGTGGGTCCAAAGTACTCAATGGTTGGAGCCAAACCCTTTTAGGAACTTCATACACATGGCTTTCTTCGTTTTTCTTGAGTTCACTGTAAGCCCGCAGAGCATCTTCATAAGTCATACCACTGGTGAAACTGGCCTGGTCTCTATCTTGATAAAAAGTACAAACAACTTTACTCAGTTCCTCATCGTCTAGCTCAGTTGCACGTGCATATCCATTACTTTCTACCTCAATTTGGGGCAGGGAGTCGACAGCAAACTTTAGGTCGGTTTCGACATCGGTAAATGTTTCGTTTTCGTCTAATCTTCTGTCAAAGACGAATATCGCTTCTCTACCATATTCTATACGCGATACAAAGTGTGTAGCTGTCATCTCTGAGCTTAGGTCTCTGTAAGGCTCTGTCTTTGCTTGATCCATGCTAAGTTCTTCAAATCTCGATATGGTTTCATACTTGAGAATAATGCGAACCAAATTGTTCTTCTTTGAGGGATCCCCATCAATAATGAATTTTCCAATTCCATATGGGTTCACCAATCCTGTCATCAAACTCAGTCGAAAGTTAGAGTCGATACCAAAAATCTTTGCCATCTCTTCCACGTTCCCGCCTGGGAAGACTTCGTATTTAGACTGTGGGGAGATGCGTGAGGAGGAGATCTTCGTTTGTATGTCAGATTCCCACAATGCTGGCCCTGTAACAAGGTGGTGACTACGATAGTCGTACAGCATTCCCAACTGAAATGGCTGCCCGAAAGAACGCACTTCCAGGACGCCAACGTTCTCGCTCATGTTGTTTCACTATAAAATGAGTTAATACCAAAAAATTCAAAACGAAAATCATTTACCTATCCGTTATACCTGCTCTTGTGATTTGTGTGGCGTTTTGTCATGTGATACCAGTAAGATTGTTTTTATTCCGTACTCAACATGTTTAAACTTTACACAGCAGTTGAAAGCTATTACTGAAGCACCTTCACCAACACAAATGATTATGAACTACTCCGACTCAGTTTTAACTTTCATTGTGGGGGAAAAATCTTCTCAAATGGAGTGAAATGTGTCTTAGTCAACCTATATTTGTACCAATTGACATCACTAGGCAAATACAACCTCGGCCTCTTTGCAAAAATTTAATCGAATCATTGATTCAGGTAAGGCATTGGTGACTTAAGTGATGTAAAGGTTGATTAAGTTTGGAACCCTCTGATTTTTAATCAATGTAATTATTATTTCTTCTTCATTCTGACACGCCATACGTCAGAAAGCGAACGCAGAGGTGAAGAGACAAATACGCTTAAGAGACGGTTTTTCTTCAATTTCTTAACACCGTGTTATCAGTTACTGTGACTTAGAATGCCACTTCTGATTAGAAAACAATTTCATATTTTATTTAAATGTAAAAAGGGAGCAACTACATAAGATATTATTCAGAATTCTTAGAAATGAAGTTACGCTTGGCCTAATTTCCGGGAATAACCCATAACGCAATTCCGATTTCCTGACTTACTCAGCGACTCGTATGGTACAAGGAGTCTAAAGCGATAAGTAATAAGATGTTCTTTCGTTGGCGGAAAATAATTTGATTTGAGATGCATCCATGCATTATCATTCGTAGACCGATGTCATAGGCATTAAATTTCCAAGTTTAGCGAGCGTAAACGAAGAGGCCTCCGAGCTCTCTCGTTTAAAGACGAATGAATTCAATTCACTTTTTTCTAAAATTTTGGATTAACATTATCCAGGTTATAGGCGATTACCTGTATCTTTAATGATATCAAATTTGTTTAAAAACTACAAACGGTCCACTGCCACCACCAAGTCGACCAACAAGATCCGTTCTTGGCCGGTTGTAAATTTCTTTTAGAGCTAGTGCGCATGATTGATGTTAGTAACAACAAGAAAACGTTCGAACTACCTTTTCAATGGACGGACGGTTGCTTACCTTTAATTTCCTTGAAGATCACGTAGAGTTACTTGTTTTGGAAATCACTGAATATGCTCAAAACTGCGAAGCGTTTTCCCGGAATCATCGGCGAAAAAGCTGCAAATTTCAATACAAGCTGACGTATTCTTTAGGAGTGCTTCTGATTGGTTCCTTTGCTATTTAATCTCAGTTTAACCAATCAAAGCCTGCCAGCTATGCCGTGTAAGTCAACACTACATAATGACTTCCTGTTTGAGCCTCGGAGGACTGATATCGAAAAAGTGTCAATTCAAGGTCACAACAATGAAAGCTATAAGGGCTGAGTGGAAAGAAAATAAGACAAAAATTTGGGGCTAAACATTATGTTATAATAGTAACGGAGCCGTAGAATCATCATTCGAAACAGCAAAGAGCCGAATAAATGAGCGACTACTTAATATTTTCAAAAAGATGTTAATCTCTTCCTGTTTTCCGAGAATTCAGGAAACGATTCTTAGAAACTGTCAACAAGATATTTTCCGCTTATGTAATGCTTTTGAAACTTGAAACTCCTCATAGGCATGTACAAAACAATACATGGTTATAAATGAGCTTAGGTTGACCTTATAATGTTGCACTTAACGGATATGATTTCTGGGCCATTTCACTACGTGCTCTCTCTTGTGTTTTCATCTCAAAGAGGGTATCTATTTATGCTGTCTTTCTATGGATCTAAGGTCTAGAGCTTGGTATTTGTATAGCACACAAACTTTTAGAAAAAAGTCAGCTACTTGAGTTGCACTGACCCCACTTAAGAAAAATAATCTTAGGGTACCTTCAGGACAGGACATAAAATTTTCATAAAATTTGCCATAGTAAATCTGTTTTGCAGAAAATGCTATCGATGAATTTTGCTCATTTTATGTTAGAGCAGGAGATGATGCACGTGTGCGCATGGTTTCCTTGTTAGGAATGTTGTGAAGAGTTAAGCAAAGTGCTATACTATATACAATGAGCTTTGTCAATCACGCAGATTTTTATATACAACACTACACCATAAAGTATTTTAAAGTGCTGGTATAAAACGTGTGGATGTATGAAATACTTTGTAATATGGCTTCTCAGACATTTTAAACCTCTTATCGAAGAATATCTGCAATCTTTTTAAATCTAATTCTATAAGAGCTAATGTCAACATGCATCAGACAAACAGCGGCAAGTCACCCAAAACTTTCTTTCACCCCTACTTACACATTTTGTAGCCCAATATGTCCTGATAATTTTGGTGCAGTTTCTTAGTGAAAACATATTTTAGTTTTCGAGAAATGATTTTTTTTAGTTCGACCGCTCAAGTATGCAAATTTTCACCGTGAATATTACCCGAGTTGTGTGACATCGTGTAACGAATTTACATGACCTCCGGTATTTCTGTCAACATAATCCTTTGTTTCATCATCTAAACTCAATCCCATGTCATTATTGAAGCAGACAAAAAAATGTTTATTTTTTGGTAGATATTTTTGTGCGACATACCTTTTCTATGTCGAAAAGTAGCATCAAGACAAAGGCAGTTTTAAAAATGACCGATATGACAGAATCTACTGAGCTTCTATAGCTTTTAAAAGACAAAAGCAGGCTGCTGACAAAAGGATGGTTATAAAGTTACTGTAAAAATTTCCTTGTGTATTTGTGATATTCCATCGTGAGACGAACTCAAAGTCCGGCAAAAGTTATTTGCTAGCGACTATGAAATATACATGGTCATGAGCCCATTACTTAGTAATGGGCTCCTGACATGGTTTACCTTCTTGTCACCACCGTTTACTAGCATAAATCACTACAATTTGTAAAAAAATATAACATAACACTCTTACCTAGTTTATCTATGATTTTATTGGCTGTTTCGATGATCACGTGGTGATAGACTGAGCAATGAAGTTCCTGTCGAGAAAATTTCGTGGAAGTCAAAGCGACTGGTTCGGAAAACGCGGCATACCCTGGCATATCAGTGTAGCGTTGAGAGGGGATGCTAATGATGAAACTGAATTGTTGACTTTCGTTCATGCCTTCGAAAGCTGTAATTAGAAAAGCTCCACTGTACTCACCATTATTTCGTCATCTTAAAGAAATCATGCCAGAGGTCAACTTTGTTTATATGCGGAGTGATAACGCAGGATGCTATCACTGCGCGTTTACATTATTTTCAGTCTACCATGTTGCTAGCCAGCATGTAATTGAACTAAAGCGTTTTGACTTTTCCGAACCCCAAGGCGGAAAAGGATCTTGTGATCAACTAAGCCCTATTTTATCGAGAAATCCTTCGAATCAAAACGCCCATTGGACAGAGAGCAAACCGTTCACCTTTAGCTAATAATATTCTTCTTGTGAAAACAGTCAGAGGGAGAAGAAGTCGTAAGCGTCTCGTCCTGACGAAAACTTAAGTTAGAGGAGGACTGGCACTAGTCAATGAACACCAGTTGCACCTGCCAATTGTAACGATTCGGGAACCATTCCGAGCTGATTTCGCATACACTTTGTAAGGTCAATGGTTTGATACAGAAAAACTGGAGCTACACGTTTAGAACTAGTGGTGGGAGTCGTTAGTTACAATTTTCGAACATTAGAGGCTAAAAGGCGTAGTCGATCACGTGACCAGGGGTTCATATGGGCTCCTTAAGTGACCAAGTAGTTTGGATTTCTTTTTTCAATTTTTTTTCTTTAGGTTTACTATCTATCATTCCTCATGGATGTCTTTAACAAAAGGTTTTGGAAAATGTGCGTAAATACCACCTAGTCAAAATTAGTTTGTCAAGGAATTCATTATGCGTGACCAGTCGTGTCCGGATGATCCCTTTCAACCCACTGGGGCAATAATGTTCATACCCTTTTCATAGCTGGTGACCATAAACGGGCTGAATTATTTTTTAAAAAAAAGTTAGGTGATGACAGTTTTGAAATTGATTCAGAGGCTAGATCTTGTTTTCCGAGTGGTTCATTGATTTTACACAGAAAGATGGTTTACGTGAATTATCGTCCTAGAAAATAGCTGAGGGTATAAAAAGTAAAAATTGTTATTGAAACTAAAAAGAATCGTTGGTTTGAACTTCCGCTCTCAATTCCGGAAATAAAAATTGGTCACGCAACCGTTAAGCGGTTTTCTTGCATGCACTACCGTAAATACATGTTCGGCGAATCCAACAAGGAAAATGTAAGTGGTTATTATACTATGAAAATGTGGAAGTCTTAATATATTGATAAAGAAGGTCAAATGAGCCTTTAATTTCATGATCAAAAACTTTGATTCTTTCCCGAAATTGTCACGGATTTAAGACATGTTTTCGATTTGTCAGTTTTTAAAAGACGGCTCGTTAAATTGTTTGCCTTTGGTTTGCTTATTAGTTTGAAACTGATTTTGGAGGACAATCACTTTTAAATCTGATCTCTGTTCTTGAATTCAGAGATGAGGTCGGGAAACCTTCCCACCAAAACATCTCGAGTCCGGTCTTCACGCTGGCGTGTGAACGAACATGACAGCTGCGTCATATTGACAAATTATCTTGTAGTTTGATTGAAATTTGTATCAAGCGAAGGCCAGCAGAAATACAATCTATGTCTTTGATTTTAAAACATGTTGCCCAAGTTTTTACGTCAATCCCACTTTTGATTGAATGCTATCTTTGAAACAGTTGTATTTCTGTGTGTTACTATTATTCTGTTGCGCGAAGCCTTCTTTTTCGCGCTAAATTGTAAGCCCAAAATGTGGCAAATTCTCTGGATTCGGTTATTATCGATTTTCTCGAAAACTAATCGAATTTAGCCAAACGAACTATGTAGCGTTTTGTTTTGAATTAAGGCCTACCTAACCTGAGAATATGGGCCAAATTGAATTTTGAGC